GGACTTCAGGATCTCCGCTCGATGGACTGAACAAATCTGGTAAGTCTTACCTTTTTACTTTGGATAGTGAATGGGTGAAGTAGAATACTAACTCTGGATAGGCGTCGCATTCTACCTGACCACATTCACACTCAATCTGCCTAAGAGCTACGACGTCCCACTTGGCATCCGCTTCACCTCCCCATCCACCGTCAACCCCGTTCGCATCCAGCTGTTCATCAACGGCTACCAATACGGCAAGTATGTCCCGTACCTGGGACCCCAGACTACGTTCCCAGTTCCCCCTGGCATCATCAACAACCGGGACAAGAATACCATCGGTCTGAGCGTGTGGGCCCAGACTGATGAGGGTGCCGCCTTGGAGAACATTGAGCTTGTCACCTATGGTGCCTACGCGAGTGGGTTCGATGCTGGGTCGGGCACGAGTTTTGATATGAACGGTGCAAAGCTGGGGTACCAGCCTGAGTGGACAGAGGCTCGGTTGAAGTATACTTAGGAGATTGCGTGTATTTGAGATTGGTGTTGAGATGGAATCCGGGTAGTCTGAATGCACTGCGCCTTTCTTGATTTAATTCGAGTGAATATTTTAGCAGTGTTTATTTCGTTATAATATCGATAACTTCTCAATTATCTCTCCTCTCCATTTCTAGTCTACAACCCATCCATCAATGATTCCGATCCCATGTTACTCCTCCTCTACCAATATCCACTCGTCGTAACTCAGTATTTCACTTTCCTCTAGCAGCTTACCTCACTCCTCATCCAGCGCAAACCGATCCAAGAACCTGAAAGTATACAAGCCCTCCAACACCTCCGCGGCCAATCCCGTCGTATTCGCCTCGACATACACCCCATCCCTCCCGACCTCAATGCCGGCCATCTTCAACGCCCGCTTGCCACTCCCCACCGCACCAACCGGCTTGCCATACCGGAACGCATCAGCAAGGATCTGCCCCGGCCGACCAGGAGGATACAGGGTCGTCGCATTGCCCGTGGCAAACAGCCCCTCCACCCCATCGGCCACAACCACCGCGTCAAACCCAGAGGCGTCAGACAGCGCATACGTAGAATTCACGCCCTCAGCCCACACCTCCGCCACCACCTCAACGTCGACCCCATGCACCGCCAGCATACTCGCCAACTCCGCCCCCAAGCGCAGCGACCCCTCCACCTTGGTCGAGGCCAAAACCCCGACCGACAACCCCTCAACACTGAGCAACCTCTCGCCAAACGTCCCGACATTCACCGTCTTATTCGCCGTATAATACCGGCCCTCGGGCTCCGGCGCCTCCAACCCCAACCCCCTGGCCACCCTGCTCGCCAGCCCATGATCCACGCGATTCAGCTGCGCGACCACATTCCGTCGAACCTGGGGACTCGTCACCTTCGAATTCTCAAACACAATCGCATTGACCACCATCTGCTGCTCCGCCGGCACCAACGAGTTCCAGAACACGGCTGGCTGGGACCAGTGATCCGCGAAGGTGGGGCTGGGCTCGCGCACGAGATGGCCGCCGACGTAACGGTAGGGGGAAGTGAAGAACCCATTCCCGGTGGTCTGGTTCGCCTGGCGCGGGGCGGTGTCGCTGCCCATTGTGTTGGGCGTGTACGCCCAGTTGTTGGTGGGGATCTGCTGCTGGCCGAACCCGTCGCGGTTGTTGTTGTGGACGGGTTTCCGGGGTCGGTTCACGGGCAGCTGCTCGAAGTTGGGTCCCCCGTGGCGGTTCACTTGCGTGTCGAGGTAGGAGAAGAGTCGGCCTTGGAGGAGGGGGTCCTCCGTGAAGTCGATGCCGCGGACTATGTGGCCGGGTTGGAACTGGGGAGGGTATTCTTGTTAGTTGGGGGTGCTGGGAGAGGCTAAGGAGATGGAGGATGGGTAGAGGGAGAGGGGTAAAGGGAGGGACGTACGCCGACTTGTTCCACTTCAGCAAAGTAGTTGGTCGGATTGGCATTGAGCTCCATCACGCCCAGTGGGGTGAAGGGGACGAGGTCTTCGGGGACGAACTTGGTCGGGTCGAGCAGGTCGAAGCCGAAGCGCAGCATGTCGGATTCGTCCATGATTTGGGCGCCCAGCTTTGTGGATGTTAGTTGTGCTGAATACTGGGGGTGCCTTGCAGAAAAGAAACATACCTCCCACTTGGGGTACCGGCCGTTCGCAATGGCATCGTGCAGATCCTGCCGGTGGAAGTCACTGTTCTTGCCGGCCGTGGCCTGGGCTTCGTCCCACACCAGACTGGCCACCCCCTGCAGGGAGCGCCACCGGTACCGGACCACCTTGCTGGTGCCGTTGGCCGTCACAAAGCGGAAACTGTGCACGCCATAGCCGTTCATGTGGCGGTACGAGCGCGGGATGCCGTGGCCGGACATCAGCCACAGGGCGCTGTGCAGCGCCGTGCTCTGCTGGCTGAAGAAGTCCCAGGCTGAGGTGTGTGCTGTCGCCGCCTGCGGGATCTCGTTGTGCGGCATGGGCTTGATCGCGTGGACGAGGTCGGGGAATTGGATGGCGTCCTGAATGAAGAAGGGGGCGATGTTGACGCCGACGATATCTATGATGGGTGCCTACGTTAGTGTTCATGTCTCAGGAGCGGGCGAGTGTGGTGCTCTGGCATACCGTAATTGCCTTCGTCTGTGTAGAACCGGCAAGCGTGGCCGTGAACATCCCGCGCGGTATCAACACTACCTCGGAACCCGACCACGGTCGAGAAGCGACAGAACATGGGAGTTTCCTTGTCGGCGGCACTGAGGAAATCGGCAGCAGTCACGTTGGAGAAGTCGCCGTACGATCGGAAGGTACCGTACGCACCGGCACCACGTGCGTGCACCACTCGTTCGGGAACCTATGGAAGCAAGAATATTGTAAGTTGAGAAAGACACCAAAGGTCAAATCAGGTAGATGTCTCTCACTCGCTCATGATCGAAGCGTTGCAGCTTCTGCCGGAAGATAAAGTCCTCAAGAAGGGTTGGCCCTCTGTGTCCAGCCTTCAGACTCCATTGATCCGAGATCGGGGTACCAAAGTCGGTGGTCATATAGCTGTCAGTATCGTTGAGGTAGAGCGACTGATCGATGGGCTGCTCGACGACCTCGATCGTGTCAGTTGGGTTGTCCGCTCGCTCGGTGAAACGAGTGGCAGTTCCCATCTCGCCGGACAGAAACGGGCATTGCGCCCCAGCGAGGCCAGCAACAGCTGCCAAAAGCCAAAGATGGCGCATTATGTTGCAAAGAGGGTGGGAGTCCAATTCTGTGAGCCCTTCTGCGTAATTGTCGCTTGGATGACTATGAGATGGATCCCCTGCAACCACCTTTATATTTGTCTTCGGATGGACTTGAGTGGGCAGATCAGACACCTTAGTTAAGCTGGCGATTCCAGACTCGGTTTTCAATAATCAACCCAAAACTGTTTGGCATTGGCAGCGCATCACAACCTGTTTGGGCGAAGAGGATCCACTCTCCTCGCTCCATTCTTGCGACCGACACAGTCATGGGTGGCACGACAATGGGTGTAGGCTACATCGTATGAGACAGCACAAGGTAGTTGGAAAGCACGGACGCCAGTTCGAAGGTTATGGAAAGCTTTCTGAGAGCAGGAAATCGGGCTGAACATGGCGAGGTTACCCAGCCTGGGAGATATCAAGTTGGTGTTGCCGGCAATAACAACGACAAGTATACCGCGCAAACAGCCGAGCGAAGCCAAGTGAACAGACAACTGTGTATGGGCGGCCATGCAGCACAGTACTGTACCTGGTCAAGATCATGGTCTAGCCACCAATGCTTGGTAAGGGCGAATTGGATTGGGTGGGTTAAGTTAGGGCTGGGAACGCCCGACTGGGGCGGGTGCTTGGTAATCCCAACGACCTCGACCGTTCCCCGGGATCCACTGTTGTCCAAGGAACCTAATCGCCGCAATTGTCACCTTCCCATGCTTTATTCAGCCACCAAACTGTGCCGAATGGATCATTTCAACTCCATGCGACCTTACTGGATGGAATTTCTGCGCTCTCTGGGCGGTCAGCCATAATGGTCTGATCTGCTCCACTCAGAAAAGCCCGATTTCCAAGGCAATCGATTAATTTCAGCGGCTTGAGGCTTTCTATCATAACCTGCAGTCGTTTTGCCGAGGAATCCAGAATGCGGCGTGATGCAGATTTCTGACTGCCAACGAGTCTACCTTCCTGGCGAGTGATGGTGTGGGATATATCATTTTCTTGGCACCGCTGGCAAGACGATGCATCCATCGGAGGCGCTGATCTTTATGAAAGACCGCAATGGACTGTCTCATGAAGGTTTCACGTGTATGAAGATCCTCACTGTGATGCTTTTGCTTTTCCTCCTCGTATACTGTTAAGCAAATTTGTTGAATTTCCTAATGATGGGTGAAGTGAAATTCTGGCACGCTCATTCGGTCGACAGGACATGCATTTTAACCTAGAAAGAGCCATCAGGTGCTGCTGATGTCATGTTTGATCTCCTTAGTCAAACCTTTTCTACAAATTTCATTCTGGATCTTCCACATTCAGCACTCAAAGTGCATCTTCTGGAACATACAACAGGCGCAGTATTCTAGAGTGACCTTTGGCTGCCATCCTTGCGTGGACTGAGCCATCAATATTTAGTTTGAGCATATGCACAAGCATCTTGTCGAATCTAGACAACTCACAGTTTCGCCAGCGTAGAACACAGCTTTGTACTTGGAGTCTCTGATAGTGCTCTCAGACATCAAGGAAGTAACCACAACATGTGGTTTTAAATGAAGATGAGGACTATTGATGCTATTCAGGAGTTCTTGGCAGGGAAGGCAATATCAGAAGGCGGTCAGATACCAGCCATTCTGCCATAGGAATCTTACCGCTTCTGTTTCTGGCAAGATATCGGTCCGCTCTTCTCGTTTTGGAAATCTTCTGCGTCAACCAGCTTCCCCAACATTCTAGTGAATGTCTAAGCATTTTCACAAATTAGGAGAGCTTAGTGCCAAAAAAAAAGTTTAATATAAAATGTGAAGTATCTAGATCCCAGGAACGAAGTTCTCCACCTTGACTTTCCAGCTTCGTGGAAAATGCATCCCTTCAGCACCATCCCAACCGCCAGCCATCATCGCCACCGCGAGTAACAACGACGACGAAGCCGGGAAATACGGCGTGGGCACCACGGTCCCCACGGGGTTGCCCACATCATCAAAATGGAAGTTGGGGTGCAGCAGATACGAGATCGCCTCGTCGACGTTCCCCAACCGGACGGCAGTCATCGCCAACATCGGAAAGTCCCATCCGTAAGACTTGGAGAAGTTCCAAGTCTGAGTGATGCGATCCATCGTGGCATTGACGACCGAAACATTGACACCAGTCGTCGGTGGCAAAAGCCCATACACTGCAATCTGACTCGGATGGTCCGACGTATAACTGCTCTCCGTCCACATATCCGGCAGATCTGCGCAGATTGAGTACGCGGTGTCCACGACGGGCAGCGGTGCCAGATTCTCCCGCACGTGCGTCCAGGACTCTGGGACTTCGTGCCCTTGTCGTCTCTTCCAGTCCGAGGCAATTTTCAGTCCGAACCGCCAGTAGGCCAGCTCGAATGTTGGGTTGTAGGTCGAGTTGGGGCTGGTGTTCTCCGAGGACGGATACATCGGCGGGCCGAGGTCATAGACCTGGGTCGTCGCGTTCCACCACGCGTACGACACCATCCAGGTTGCGAGCTCGTTGAGCATTGTGTCCCATTTCTGCAATGTTCCTACGGTTGGCGAGGCTCGATATTCCAGTTCCGCAAAGTACATCGGATGGGGTTGCTGCCAAATCAAAAGGGCATTCTGTGGACCCGGAGCGGAGGCACCAGACGGGTCGCTCATCTTGCCCAAGCGTGCGCCCTCGTATCCCTGGTTCTTTGCGCGCGCAATCGACGATGGCAGGAACCGCTCGTATACCCCGAGACTGCGGTTCAAGATCTCCCATTTGCCCCAGCGGGCCCAGTGCCCGAGGTGCCAGAATACCATCTCCAGATGAAACTTGCCGTACCAGCCGTTGTTCTGCAGGCCGGATTCCTGCGGTGGATCGTGACCCGCACTGTTCACTGCAAGTAGGTACTGCGAGAGGATAATGCGGCGCTGGAGCTCTGCGGCATCTGACGAGTTGGAGCCCGTCAAGTCGACGAAACAGCCGGACTCCCAGTATTGCGCCCACCACTGCGTCGAGGACGTTTCGACGGTTGCAAACGACCTCATGGCTTCGTGAATCGACGGCGTGTACGAAGAGGTGAAAGTGAACTTCCCTCCTTTGCCAGTGGGTTGGAGGAAATAGCGATGCGTTCCATTGATTGCGCCGCGGATATTGCCGCCCTGCTCCCATGCAATGGTATTGTAGTAAGTCGTGCCCCCCAGAGTGTGCTCAACCACTGCCTCTCGCGATGTTGCTCTCTGTAAGCGGGTGGTATGCTCCTCGACCAAACTCCAATTTCCCACAAAGGGAGCCTCGAATTTGTTTGTTCCCGTGGTCAAAGGGTAGTCGAAGAAGACGCTCAGGGAGCCATCCACCAGAAGAGATGACTGCACATCCACAGCCACAGCATCAGAGAAGGGATCTGCAATTGTTCGAACCGAGACAGTCGTCCCATGCAGCTCAAACCTTGAAATCAGGATCCCGCTGTACAAATCCAGGGTCTGCACCGTGTCAGTCACATCCGCTGCCGTGATATTTTTCCCTTGGTATAAGAACCCAGCCCGCCCCAGATTGACCCGATGGGGATTGGCGATGAGCCACTGCGAGATAGCCGCCTCGGCGGGATTCGCGATATCGTAGTTGACCAGGCGGTCGTGCGTCCACCAGTCCATGCCTGTGAAGTCGGAGGGCTCGGTCTGCCCAGCGGTAATGGGCAGCGAGTCGTTGCACCAGCACCACGACGAGAGGATATTGAAGGGCAGTAAGGTCTGTAGTCCGGTTATATCCGCTCCAAAGGCAAAATCCCCGTTGCCGACCTGCATTGGTGTGGTCGTCGACAGGTTTGTGCGCACGGGATTGTACCTGCGGATGACATTTCGGCGGTCGATGGTTCTAGTATTCTCTGTGAGTGCACTCACAGGCTCGAGAAATGATAGGAATCCGAGGCACGCAAAGAGGGCAAAGAAAGGCTTAAGTAGCATTGTTGATATAAGTTGCAAAAGCTTGGGAATAAGTGACGACAACCCATCAGCGGGCCCAAGCTGCAACTGAAACTCGTCAAATTCTTCTTCCTGCCTCTTGCACAATACTGGACGCCTGTAAACCACTTTATAGCTTTATAGATTGTCTTGGAGGGTCGAGTTGTTGCTTCTGGGAACAGACTGCAACCATCTCAACATATGCTCTATGCCGATCGCGGTTCCTCGGCGTAGACATAGCCGAACCCCATTCATATAGCCTGAATATGCACGGTCCTTTCGGAAATGCACGGCATCATTGGTGGAATATTGACCATGTACCCTGCTTCCCCGCAGATGCGCTGCTGATCTGGACTAAAGATGACATCGATTTGTGGGAGTTCTACACATTAACTCTATCTGCCAGAGATGCGTATTCTTTTTCAAACGAGATCTAGCAGCGCCTGCTGACTAGGCAAACGTCCTTAGAAGACCTGTTCTTGCAACCGGAATCGCTTAGAACCCCACATCGTCCGCAGGCATCCAATGTACCGATATAGGCTCATGCTTGCTTCGAATCCGCTCTCCCTTTGACCAGAGCTGGAATGTGAGGTCTGCAGGCCCGACTACGACCTTCACCTCGAACGAGGTCCGCCAGAACGCAGGCTTAGAACTGTACCAATGACGGTTCTTCAGCTTCTTGTCCACATTATCCGTAAAAATGTCCAAGTTGCACACGGTTTGCACCCCCTCTTGGTGCAGACTGCGGGGAAGCTCCCCGGGCATCCGGGTGGACATCACGATCTGGACTTTCCAGGGATCTTTCTCCCTCCCGACGTCTGTTTTGAGGTGGAATTCTTTGGTCACTCCTGTTGAGTCAATGGGGTAGCCCTTGGATGATGGCGAGCGTTAGTCAGTTGGTAGGAACTTAATTTACAGTGAGGCGGATTGCGTACCCGTATCACTAGCCAGTCGATCTGGTCGAGCACATACATCCGGTTGTCACGGGGATCGATCTGGACTCGTTCTCCCAGGTGGAAGTCCTTGCTATAGAGCTTGTTGCAGATGATCCCGTAGCTGACCGGCGCACAGCGGGAGCCGAAGGTGACGACCCCGCGTTTGAGCTGTTGAGTTCTGTCCATGACCAAGCCGTGGACGACGACCAGTTGTCTAAAGAGAATCATGTGAATAGCAACCCAGATGGTTTCGCGTACAAGGGCCACGTACGGCTCATCAGCTGTGAGGACTTGCATTGAGCCACTGAAGGGACCGCGTGTCGTGCCCGACCCACTATACCTCTCATGCAGTCGTTGCCGCACGTACGGCGAGCTGCCTAACCCACCAGACAGAATCAGATATGACTATACAATTCGTTAGTGTCTATAGTCAAGTCCACGGCTCATTCAACCAGCCTACAATCTGGTCGTTGGGATACTGCCCGCGCAGATATTGGATATGCCCGTCCAACAGCCGGCACATCCCCTCGACCTTCGTGTCGAAGCATTTCTGGATGTCCTTCCTGCTGCCTGGTCAGCTACCATAGCTGTCATCATTCGACAGGCACACTTACCAAGCGATCTGCATCTGGCCATCGTATACGTCCGCCTCTGGAAAGTCTGCATTACTTTGCAGAGATGGTACATCGAGCTTGAGCCATGGTGCTATTGTGGCCTCGGTGCCAAAGGCGCATTTGAACCGCTGGAATCGACCGAAGGTCATCCTCCAGGCGGTCGCACTGGGAGATAGACGTAAGTGACCACTGATTCTTTCCAGCCGGTCGCATATGAGATGATAGATTTCTCTATCGATGAACACGGAGCCGATCGGATGTCCTAATGCAATATTAGCCGGAGACGATGGTGAATGCCCTTGCTACGTAACGAATCACCTTCTACATGGCCAAGCTGGGAGAGTCGCGTAGGCTCACTCCGTGCGGAAAGAAGCTTGAGGACATTCACATCCTATAACTCGTGTTGGCCTGCAGATCTGCGACAATATCACTCTGGAACTAAGGGGGTTCATACTGTTGTTCCGCCACCAGAGTCGCAGACCATAATTGTATCATCTTGCTGCGGCCGTTAGCTGAGGGCAACGATTGGAGAAAAAAAGAGTAGGAGCTGACCCGATAGTGCTCATTTCCGGCGTAGACTGCCGCTGCCTCGGCTTCGGTCAACCCAATGCAGGCACGATGGTTGGGATTCTGGACGCCAACGATCTGAGCAAGCAGCCGGCGGGTTTCTTCCACCATGCGCACGTCCTTCCACGTTGTTGGAACGCTGAAGAGGAATTCCACACGCTGCGTGACAAATTGCGGAATAGTGTTGTCGAAATATGACACGACATGCCGGTAGACGCAGCGAATATAGTCTTGGAACCATCGCTGGGCCTCTGCTAAGCTGGGGCCACCGTCCCGGGGATGCTGAGGCGAGAGGTGAAGCTTGAAGAACTCTTTCAACTCCTCTTCTGAGTTGTCTGACTCACACTGAAAGCCCCAAGCCTTGACGGTGGTCTGATCAGAGCTGTACGTGATGCATGTAGGCACTTTGTTCGCCAGCTCTCCCGGCAGCTTGCCCGGCCACCGCTGGATTGTTTTGGGAGGCGGCCAGTCTGGTCCATAGGAATAGGCCACACCTGCTCGACCAGGATTTGGGGCTAATCAGCGTTCTAGACTGCGAGAGTCTGGATGGTTGGGCGCCTACCAGTGTGTGTCATGCCGAAGTCAACCCCTACCACGATGTCCGGTCGCCACTCCTCTTCCTCATGGGCAGAGACCTTCCTTGGGGGCCCGAGGGCCTCAATGTCACTCATAGTCTGACGGAATGAGGGGAATTGCCTTCGATAAGTTTACCTGCAAGAAAAGGAGCTGACGCCTACTCATTAAATTGGGCTGGGAGGTGCAATCTGGTGCCCCGCTTTATTAAATGCGGCTAAAATGTCCGTCCGATTGACTAAACGACGCTATTGCTCGACCATGGCTCGCAACCCTAGCTAGTCTGCCACTTATCCCTGCATTGAACTTCTGCGTTCGATTGAGCAACCTTTAGTCATGATGGGGCGAGGAAGTACTTTAGCGCTCGCTGAGCCCTCTGTCGCCTGGCTTTCTCACACCCATGACCATGGCGGAATCACTGCAACCTCGCCAAGCGCAGACATCCGTGGCAGAGTCACAATCGACCCTTTCAAGCCCTGAGCCTGGATACTACACGAGTTCAGCTATCTCAAGCTCATATTCTGCCTCCTCTAGCACTACCTCTAGCACTACCTCTGGCACTACCTCTGGCACTACCTCTGGCACTACCTCTAGCATTACCCCCTCTGGCACTACACCCTTGGGAACTACCCGTTCACCATCTGCTTCCTCATCAGTGACACCAGTCAAGACTACCTCTTCTTCGGTCTCCCAGCATACTCCGACCGCTACCAGCCATCCAAGCTCAGGTCATGGAGTCAGTAGTGGTGCTTTGGCAGGTGCAGTAGTCGGATCCATTGCTGGAACCGTCATCATCGCCCTCCTCGCCGCTTGGCTCTTTTTCCGGTCCAGACGTAATGCTCCTCGCCGAGCGAGCAATCTTCGAAACCCTGATCGGGATGGCGTAGAACTGGCAAAATCACCAGCGACCGTTCAAGCTCGTCCGATTCCCGCTTTGTTCGCTGTGGGAGCGGAAAAAAGCTCGTCTCTCGACTTGGCTTCATTCATCCCACCACCTGCCGACGATCGAACCGTGAGTTCTCGCATCCAAACCCTTTTCGATCACATCAGCCTGCATGTGGACAACTACTACGCCCCCGACAGTGGCGATAGCGCCCAGCCCTCCGCGGCAGAGATTCAAGAAATGGTTCGATACAATCTTCCATTCCTCTCTGGCCCGCTGGCCGCTACCTTGGCGAACCGTCGCGCCCGACGAGCGGCATTGACCAAAATCCTTGCTCGTACATTGCTAGAGGCTATCCAGCCTGGTGGATCGCTCTATCCACCCTTTCAAGCTACTTACGAGGGAGAAATCGCTCACCCATCCACAGGAGCTGCGGTACCGAGTGACAATGCGGCTTTTGCGTGGCGTATGCTCACGTCCCACCTGCATGCCGAGTACCTCGACACCTCGTCTCCGACGGCACAGAGGAACATCGCTGCTCTTGTGGAAGACTTCTCGCGGACGTTCGCAGCGTTCCATAACCCACAGTTCTCTGATCCGGATGTCCGCCGCCATCTGAGAAGCGTGGTGAAGGAAGCCGCTGATCTGGGTGTCTGGCTGTTCGCTCAGCCGTGCTTCTTCGAGTTTGTCTGGGGGGATGCACAGCCGCAATCCATCGCAACCCTACCAGCAGTGGTCAAGGTCAGCGACGAACAGGGGCAACGACTAGCTACGCCTCAGAAGATAGTGGAGGAAACGATCGCGCAGCTTTGACATTCAACACGAACATCTTGGTAAACTGTATCTAGCTATCATAATTACACCGCACCTGCAAGTCATAGAAGCCCCATTAGCCATACCACATGCATCAACCTCTCAAACACCTCCATCCGTCATAACCTCCTCCTCTTCTCGACGAACAGCAGTAGTATTCCCCTTAGACTGTCTCCAGCGTAGTAAATCCAACAGCTCCTCCTCCAGGCCCCCGTTCCCCCCTCCCACGCCTTCATCCCTTTCCCCCTCCGTAGCCAACCCTTCCACCGCGGCACTCAGGTCTTTTGGCCTTACAACCTCCCCAGCCGGCAACTCCATCACCTCCTGCTCCAGCTCCTGCTTCCGCGCACCCCCATAATCCGACCCGTGCACCCCGCGCAACCGCTCAAACACCACAATCAAACTCCGATGACACATCAGCAGCCGACTGCGCTGCAACCGCGCTCGCCGACTATCGCGACACACCCAGCGCAACTGCGTCGCGAGACCGATACTCCCCCGCCGCCGGGTCTCCTGGTCCACGCGTGCCGGCTCTACCAGCAGGGCGGCCGCGCGCACCGCATCGGCCAGATCGGCCATTGTGGCTTCGATCCAGCGCGTCTCGGTGGCATCTAGCCACGCCGCCTTCAGCTGGTAGAGGCGCTGCACCTCGCGGAGTTGCGTGCGCGCGTGGTGGATGGTCTTGAGGAGTTCGGCGGTTTCTTCCTGGGCGGAGGTGAAGAGGGCTCTTGGGGGTGCAGGTGGCGGGTTTCGCTGTGAAGGGGGCTGTGAGGGTGTTGCTGCTGGTGCTGGCTTATTGGTTGAGGATTGGGATTTCTTGAGGGAGAGGAAGGAGGAGACGCGCGACGAGGGGGTTGGTGTTGAATGTTCCCGGGTTTTGTCTTTTGCCTCCATGGTGAAGTTTGAGTGAAAATGGACAGACTACTGGGAATACGATAGACGTATTGTCTTTGAGTGAAAGAACCTCTTTGGGTACCTGTCGCGGGTGCCTTCGGCCGGTTCTTAGCAACTTCGCGTGACAAGCGATGGTTCTAGAGCTATTACTCTCTAAGCCTTCCCAGCGGGTATTTGAAGCGACGGACAATAGCCTAGTCCGACGCTTGCAGGGCACGACTCTACCATAGAACCGTTCAATTTCCCAAGACGGAAAGGTATGGGATGAGTGGATAAGGCTACGCAACGTGGGAATTGGATTGAGCTCCATCCTTTGTCGACTTAAATTAGGGCTGGGGTGGTGATGGTGCGACAAGAACCAATCAGGGGCTCTAGGCATGACCGGCATGACCTCTAGTGCTGATGCTGTGCTGCGCGTTGACTGCGCCGCAATTTCTTATCCCTGTTAAGTATTCCGTACACGTTCTAGCTTCTGACGGGCCCAGCTTAGCTTCTCCACTTAGCTTGTCTGTTACTTAGCGCACGAGAACGAATCAGTCGGGTGGGGTGTTGGGGTTGTCAGTCAATCGTGGTGGCACTCTTGTGATTCTTGACTGATTAGGGCAGACGCGATCAATCTCGACTCTCCCATTCAATTCAAAGATAAGATATCCTCCTAGCCTTTGCTGTCGGTATAAATACCTTGACTGTCTTTACTCAGGATTCGGCAAAAGGGCTTGTGCTTCTTGAAGAGAATGGGGCTGAAAGCGTCAAGAAACGGATGATCTATTGAGTCTCCTATTCACATTAGTTAGTGGACGCTCCCGTATAGGCATGCCCATCACCAACACCAGCATGAGTTCGATATCCTTGACTACAAGTATGCTCACATATCACCTAAGAATATCAGGGTTGCCCTTGTACGCCGAAATGGAACATAGGAACCAATCCAAGTGGTGTAGTTTGATATGATCAAAATTGTACACATTGAATCTCAAACTGCGAAAAGCCTAGAGCATTGTGTCTAGTGGCCCGTTTTGTTGCCCAGGATGAACATGGAGGAGACAGTCCATTCACCAACTATTTTCCGGATCCTACATTGTTTCCGAGGGTGGGAGAAGAATTCCGACCGTGGGCTGAGGCTTAAGCAACGGTCGGGTGGGCGTCTGTATAGATGGGGCGTCTGTATCGATGCATATTAAGCTTGACCGCCCAGTCTACAGAGAACCGACCATGTAAGCTGACAGGCTTCTTCCCGTTGTATAGCCCAGCCTTATGTGCTCCAATGCTCGAACCTTCCTGCATCTACACGATGGTTCTTAGTTGTTTCTTCTTACCCATTCTGACTCATTCCGAGGTTATATAACTTGAGAACCTTCTTCAGCATGAAGTAATATCCTTATTATCCCCACCATCAAGCCCCAGCCAAACTAGACCTCTCTCGGCCACTTGGAAAATCATCTACCCCACCTCCATCATGGCGTTGAAGGCAATTGTATTCCTCTCGCGCAGCCCCCAAGTCACCCCGCAAGAGTTCAAAGACTACTACGAAAACCATCACATGCCTCTTGCCAAAGAAATCGCCGGCAGCTCCTTCCCCACCCTCCACCAGCGCTGGTACCTCGTCCGACACCCCCAGGATTTAACCTCCACCGATCCATCGAACACCAATTACCTCGCCAAGGTGTATGCAGGTCAGGTGGACGACTTTCCGTGGGATGTGTGCGTCGAAATGATCTTCGAAGATATGCAGCACTGGGGCGCATTTCAGGCTCAGCTGGCTGAACAGGGGGACCGGATTGCAGAGGATGAAAAAAAGTTCATGAATCGCAGCAAGGTGTATGTGGCTGAGATTGAAGGGCCATTTGTGTCGACGCCTTGAGGGTTGTAACAGGCGATTGGTGGGTAAGAGGGCGAGGTGAATGAATTTTTTGTTCAAGTGGTGATTGTGCCGCATCAATCTAGTCTTGTGCATGCTTTGCCCTACCTCTTAGTTTTCACTATGGAGGGGGGGGGGTTTTTTCCTTTCTTTTCTTTTTTTTTTTCGCTTGACGCCATACATGGGAAATTTAGAATGTAGTTGATTGTTTATTTATTAAAATCAGTCTAATTGATCTCTCCATCCCCGCAGTTAATCCATGGTCCGGTGACTTTAGTATGAAGAGCTGATAAAGAGGATAATACAAGTGTCTTAGAATAAATATAATAATTCTTTTTATTGCTGCCAACACGAATGCCGAGAAGCGTCTTGGCAGATAATCTACTATAATTAAATTAAACAAATGCTGATACTTTGCCGAATTATGGAACTGACCTACACATTAAGCTTGTGACTTATGGCAGATGGAATACTAAGATTTAGAGCAAAGGCTTATATCTTATTAATTGTCTTAAGTAGTTGCAATATATACAGATCTTTGATTAGCATCTTCCGTATATTAGGCTGGTTTCCATCATACCTTGAGGTGTGCGGCCTTTAGAAGATAATAAGTATAACTATCTGCAGGGGTTACAAGAGGAAGTGCCTACTATATTCTGTTATAAGCATTTATCCGCAGAATCTACGTGTCTTTCAGCCCCGCAACGCTGTGTTGTCACGCTGTGTTGTCATCGTGTGACTTGCAAATAATGGGTGTGGTGGCACTAAAAGCCAATGATTGTAGGGCGGTGCGGCCGAACACACAAGAGAAATCATTAATTAGATAGCTAACTAATATCGAATAACTAGGTCTAGCAATGGAATCTGAGTGTGTATGTATAGACATCCGTAACTATACTTTGATTTGAATATAGCGCTAGTAAAAGCACTGTGCACTAACCCTTTTTTTGTTATCTTATCTTGCATAACTTCTACAACAATGCATCTTTTTTATGTCTTCAATTGACAATGGTTTGCTTGTTTTGCTTTTTATAAAGGGAAGTGTGATTTGTCGTCCTGTCGCCTGAAATGAACTCCAGGACGAATTGATATTCTTAAAGCAGAAGAAGAAAAAAGGAGATGGCAGCGTAGATTAACGCTAAGGATTTCAGAAACAATACTAATGCTATACAGACGGCAAAATATTGTGACCTTTCTTTGCCACTGAAGTTGCTACGGTCTGTTGTAAAGAAATATCATGTTTCATATGCCAGACGGAAACACTACTATCGCTATCACGTGTCAGGACACAGAAGGTTGTTATCCGCAAAAAGCCTACAAGGCGTACTTCAGCGGGTTCTCCCGCATAATTGCCTGAAAATTATAAGTAGGAGGCATTGCCTACATCGCCACACGTTCGGTCCAGGGCAATAGAAGATAGGGCTGCAATTCAAGATTTAGATATTGCAATTATCTCTCTTCGGAGCATGCTGCTCCGTGTCTTTCAGTAAAAGCCTAATAATTTAAGTATCCCAACTAGGACTGTTCCTCGCGCCGTTTCGCACACCAATTCCTTCAGATCCAGTGTTTCCTTTCTAAGCTAGCGCGTCAGCAAATGATCAAGATGGGTCTGGCGTGATCCGACTTTTGGAGAGTACCATAAGCAGCGATTTCAGATTTGTGGAACTTTCCCACAAAGTGTCTCCTGAAGTAATTGTGATAGTGAGGAAATAGTGGTACACCAGTAGTTTCCAGGTACGGTGACGCTGTAAAAAGCCTGTGACCAGTTCTAGAAAAGGCTTCTCGGGCTTTACCGGAGTCCGGAGCCTTCCGCGCCTCCCGTGGAACTGATACCGTATCGGGTCAACAAATGCGATATCTGGAAAGGCTTGAAATTCTTCCTGCTAAGGCGATCATTAGTTGATAAGGGGGTCGCTGGGCCTTTTGAATAGCAAGGTAATTTGGTCTCTTACTCATCGTTGGACATAATCTATCAGCAGCTTTCTAGAATTCCCAATCTGCAAAACCAGGCTATGAAAATTGCCTGAAGGACCCTTTCAGCATCTGTCCCATCATAATACGAAAAGAAGGGCACCGTACATTCCAAGACCCGCTGGAACCGATCTCCTCTCTAAGGTTAAATTCCAGTCTAACAGTACAATGCTCAACCACAGTCAGGTCGAAAAGCCCGTCGCGGATGACTTCATGTACGACTTCAAATATAACCACTGTCTGCCCACGACCGATGTCTTAGGCGTTACAATTCCTGATGACTGCGATGCCCGGAAGGAAGCTGAGGCCATCGTAGCCCGACTATCTACAGCAATGTCAGAGGGGGATGCGCAGACTTTCGCCGGGCTATTCCTCGATTACGGTGAAACCCCCACAAACAAGTTCCGGAACTCGATTTTAATTGACATCGGATAACAGGCGTGTGGCGTGATAAGCTCTCATTCACCTGGGACTTCCGCACATTCAACTTCAGAAAGGCAATTTTGAAAGCCGCTTCCGACCTTTTGCCTCTAACCAAGGCTACAAACTTCAATTTTCTGGAACCTGCGCCTTGGGTGTCTCGCCCATACCCTGATTTTTCTCAGCTGCAGTTTGTGGTATCCTTCGACACTGAAATTGTGCATGCTTCGGCCGTTATCAATGCTGTCCTGGCTAAAGATGGTTGGAAGATCTACACCATGCATACTGTTGCCGAGAGTCTCAAGGAGTTCCCCGAACAGGCCGCACCAGATGGACACATGACCGGTATCACTAGCTGGGAGAGTCAGAGATCTGAGGCCATCAACATTGTTGATCCTGAGGTACTGATTATTGGGGGTGGTCAAAAGTAAGAACCCATGCATGTGGCTTTATGATATACAACTAAATCCTTACTACTAGTGGCCTTGCTATAGCAGCGCGCCTGAAAGCTCTTGGTATGGAAAACTTGATCATCGAACGCAGCGACGAAGTCGGAGATATCTGGAAAAAGCGTTACGAGTATCTTTCTCTGCACTTCCCACACTGGCCCGATGCGTTACCATACTTCAAATACCCTCAGTATTGGCCCACTTATACCCCAGCTCAAAAGCAGGGTCTGTACATGGAGTGGTATGCCTCCGCTCTGGAGCTCAATGTCTGGACCAAATCGGAGGTTGTAAAGGCCGAGCAGGATGCTGATAATCAGTGGACTGTGGTAATTAACAAGGAGGGCAACGAGACTCGCATACTGCACCCTAAACAAGTTATTATGGCCACGTCGCTATGCGGTGTCCCTTTTACTCCTGCAGTGCCTGGTATGGATGATTTTCAGGGAGTAATCCGTCACTCCAGCGCCCAGAAGAGTGCGCGCGAATTTATCGGAAAGAAGGTCTGCGTTGTTGGTACCTCATCCTCAGGCTTCGATACAGCTTACGAGTGCGCCCGCCTAGGAATTGATGTAACTCTTCTCCAGCGGTCGCCGACTTACGTCATGTCTTTGACCCATTCGGTTCCACGAATGCTTAAAGATTATGCGCCGGACAAGAATGGTAACCTCCCGGATACCGAAACACAAGACCGTATTATGTTCTCGACGCCAGTTGGACCCGGCGAGGAATTGGCCAGGCGCACTGCTAAAGTCCTTGAGGAACTCGACTTGCCTCTGCTTGAAGCTCTTAATGCCCGAGGCCTGCGAACATGGCGCGGCCAGCGCGATACTGGCAACTTCACGTTGGGCCAAACCCGAAACGGTGGGTTCTACTTCGATGCCGGTGCCTGCGAAGAGATTATCAACGGCAACATCACAGTGGAGCCAGGCTTTATTGAAAAGTTTACAAAAGATAAGGTGATCTTGAACGGTGGTCGTGAGAAGGAGTTTGACTTAGTTGTGTTTGCCACCGGATTTTCAAACATGCTTGACTCTATTCGAGCTACTCTTGGTGAGAACGCTGCCAGCCGATGTGGATCTATTTGGGGAATCGACGAGGAAGGCGAGTACAAGGCTGCATACCGGGAGACGGGGTTGCCCAACCTGTGGATTATGGTTGGCTCCCTTCCAATGACCCGTTATGCCTCTAAACTGTTGGCTCTACGACTGAAAGCTCTAAGGGAAGGCATTTCTCTGCCCCCGTACAAAGTCTAAATCTCATACCTGAAATAGATTGATGGTTCGCGTTCAAATAATTGTGTTGTACAACGATCGGGATTTGGTTTCATCCACCTGATGAGTTTTGTAACTAGGTACCTAGTATGAGAAACAGTGGGACCACTGTCGGATGCTGTGAGTTTAATCAAGGAGGTACATCGCACGGTCATCTGCGCTTGAGTGCAGAACCAAGTGTTTATTCTGTACATTCGGTGGATTGCTAAGTATGAGCGACTGTAGGTATCAGGATCTTACGCTGAATGAAATAATCACGCTAGCATCATGGCAATGATATTTGGAAACATTAGAAGGATTTATCTAGCCAAGAAACTAGTCGCGGCCACCAACCAGGGGACAGATAAATGCAGCGGACGTAGGTTCGTCCAAGCCCTAGCGGCTAGATTTCTTTCCTATTGTCCAGCTCGGCTCCAATATGGCGCCGTGCATCTTTCGCCGCCTAGGGAGCCCTGCCAGACGAACCAAGGACATCCATCAAGGATTCGACAGATTTCTGATAGATAGCCACTGACTGCTCTTTCAAAGCCGTGAGCTCAAGGCGTCCCGCATTTTCAGCAACAAACTTGGTGTATTCATCCCGGGCATTCCGATTGATGTTGATCTTACGAGCGCCGGTGTCGATGGCCTTACGGAAAAGCCAATCCGGCACGGGGTGTGTCCCGTGGATAACTAGCGGGACTGCGGGCCCAATGGCGTCGGCAATTGACTTGAGCCTGGACATGTGTCAGCGAGATACGACTGTTTTTCTCCCTGTATTCAATTCGCGATTTTCTTTGTTTCTTTTTTTCGTCCTCTCTTCGATTCTTCTCCCCTTTCATATCCGCCTTCGATCGCCGAATGGATACGTACCTATCAAGTTGCCAATATTTCTCGGAGCCGCCTTCAGGGTAGGGTCCGTGAATGTTGCCGAAGGAGGGCGCCAGAAAATGGACACCAGTTCGCTGTGTGAAATCTGCTGCGTGTTGAGGATCGGTCAAAATCTCTTCTAAGTGACCAGCGTCCGGGATGCCGTCCTCTCCGCCGTTGATACGGCCCATTTCTGCTTCCACAGTGATGCCTTGGGCTTTGGCCAACTCTGTGATCTCCCGACAGTAGCGAATGTTGTCTTCTGGCTCCAGCCTTGAAGCATCCACCATGATGGAGTCAATGGGCAAGCTCAAGGCCTGCTTAACATCGGCTGGGTCCATACAATGATCGAGATGAACCCCAATCGGAACCGAGGCCGCGTGAGCCGCTTCCACGATGTATTTAACAAAGTGGGGGCCTTGAAAATGCATCGTCCACGGAAAGATTTCAATCAGGGCAGGAGATCGTTTGGCTTCAGCCGCTCTGATGACCGCCATGACACCATCGTTGTTATAGCTGTTGTGATTGTCCAACGATTAGTCAATTACTGAGAATCAATATAACCTGTACCACGGACCGAATGACATCCATGATATGATTCTTTTGTAGTATCACAAATGAGGAGCTCATACCAATTGAAAGCACCAACAGCGTAACCCCCTTCGGCGGCATCGTGCAAGATTCTCCACGTAAGATTGTTGGCTGGAAAATCAGCCAGATCTTTTTGACCGGAAACCATTCTGATCGTCTATCGAGTCTTGTGCCTGGACCAAATTGAAATAAGATTGCTTTAATGCGTCTCTTCAGGTCATCCCAATAAACCGGGGAAAGATGGGCCAGATAAATATCCATAAGCTTGTAATAGGTCCTTTGCGCGGCGCCGAAAGTGGATTAGCGTAGACGGAACGCTCCAGTGCTCGGGACAATCCGTTTCCCCCTTAGTAAAGACCTCTTGGCGAACAAGGTTGCGAACCTTGCAGGGTCTTCGGCCCCCCCACCAACTTCTATTCATCCCCATCTGGCGGTCCTTTATTCTGCACGAATACAAGGAAAATGCGACCATGAATCAGACAGGTACCAACAACAGTCCGACCGGCGCTCGGCCTGTCCGGAAGGTTCGGTCGGCGTGTATCCGTTGTCGAAATCGTCGTATCAAGGTGCGTTACAGTTCGATTGCCATATTCATCAGGCACCAATCTGAACGATCAACAGTGTGATGGAGAGGTACCGGCATGCAGGAACTGTCTCAAATCCCACGCCACTTGTGTAGATGCAGATGGGAGGCTTGGCGATGTGCTATTACCACGTAGGTAAGGATGCCTGGACGAGACTCTGGCAGTTTCCACTTGCTGATATCCATCGCAGCTTTTCTGCAGACTGTATTCGACGAATCCAGTGGCTAGAGCAGATCATACAGACACATTTACCGCATGTGGACCTTTCCGCCGGCCCAAAACTCGATGGCTCAAGCCAGGCGGTGCTGAATTCCGCCGATGCGAAATTAATTTCCACACAGTCGACGATGGTCTCGAAAGAGACCCTCGAGGCACGTTCGTCTCTCGCAATCGCCCCCGAAATCGCCGTCGCCAGATCATCGCAGTCCCTTGATGGCGCAACGAGTGAGCCTCAGCCCGATTGCTGGGAATCACCCCCTGGTGACTCAAATATTGCCAACGAGGTTCGTGCAGTGGCGCATAGCTTAGGACAAGTGTCGCTGCACGAGGATTCCCGACAAACATATTATATGGGCACTTCCACTGGTATTCTTTTCGCGCATCTTGTTGGTGTTGCTGGTGCAAGCACTTTCAGTATTCAATCCTCGCCTGATTCAACGCCGAGGCAGGCGCCAATAGCCATGCATCATACTACTTTGGAGCAGTTGAGAGCTACGCTTCGTCAAGTAAGTAAAAAAACACACACATCTGGGGTTGTATTGACAGTTTACTCAGGAATTGCCACATCGTGCTCGATGTCAGTATTTGCTGGATGAATACTTCCGTACTGTACATCCTGACTTTCCTGTACTCGACCCGGAATCTTTGTGTCGAATCTGCGAAGCGGTTTATGATTTCTCTTCAAGACCACTCTCTCCAACGCTAGGAAGAAAAGGCTGGCCCGAGGATGCTCCGGCATTTGCATATAATGGCGAAATGGAAATAAGAGATGGTCGATACGAAACATCAATCTCCATATACACCGCGGCATTTCATGTGCTTATGGCTTTGAGTCTAGCGTCTATATTCAAGGTCCGTCAGAAGCATTCAGAAGATTCCCCCCAACGACTCTACAAAGCAGCTGTGTCTATAGCTGATTATTGCCTGGCTGCTCCATCTCTCACAACTATACAATCTCTGGTGCTTCTAATTGCACACAGTTTGATGACACCATCGAATATAAATATTTGGACGATGGTGCATCTTTGCATGGCGAGTTGTGTTGATATTGGGCTACATCGTGAAATGGCTGCAAGTCCCCACAATCGCCTTCCTATTCACATTCGACGGATGGTCTTTTGGACTGTCTATTCACTGGACAGGTCAGCCCTCTAGCTTCTAAAAGTTTCGATTCCATTTTCTGATCATCACAGGTCAATCTCAACAATACAAGGGAGACCGCTTGGGATTAGAGACGAGACGTTCGACGTTCAGAGGCCCGACCCCGCACTCGACTTCAAGGGCGACAGCATTGATAGGTGGGGCTCATTAGCCCCAAGCTTTGACCCAAGCGGTGTCTGGCCGTATACAGTACACCGTTTTGCTCTGGATCGTTGGGTTTCAGCCATCAAATTACTGTTGTACCGCTGCCCATCGTCATGTGAGCAGAACCTGTTCATTTGGCCTTCAGATCTCGAACATCAACAAGGTATTCTCAAGAGCAAACTTGAGATGTGGCGGCATGATATTCCAGGCGTCGTGGACCAATTAACAGTTCCTGATGAGTTACTACGTAAAAGGCTTCGCCTAAAATTAGAAGCTCAATATCACTCGGCAATAATGCTTCTCTTTCAGCCATCACAGGCCCTTCGGAAGCCCAGCCTTGAAGCATGCCGTCTTTGCTATGACTCAGCTGTAGCGCGTCTCACCATATACTCGGAGCTATATGAGCTTGAACAATTATTTTGCAGTTGGAGGAGCGTGCAGGACATCTTCCACGCCGGTGTGATACTAATTTATCTGGTATGCGGCTTACCATCGGTGCAGCAATCAGTATCTCTACCAAGCGTTTCGAAAAACATGCGTCTCTGCTCCAATCTGTTAAGTACCGGGGGCGAATGGTGGCCGTCCGTGAGAAAGGCCAAGCGAAGGCTGGAAAGAGCGGCAGACCTTCTGATAGAGAGGCTTAGCGCACTCAACACTTCAGCTTTACAATCGCAGCGATCACAAGATGTCACGATCCTTGACAGGGGCGGAGTTCCCGAGAGGAACTTGGCGCCGCTCTCATCTAGATTCGCGTCATCTCTGACTCGCTTTTCAGGGTGGAATTTTTCCCTTTCGACTAATGACGGCTTTTTATCAACATCAAATCAGCCCACGTCTCGCCCATTGACGTTCCCAGTTGTCTCTCCTGTCGGGTTTGACGCCCAGGATGGACCTGCTAGCAGTAGAGGCCAGGCTGATGCGCCACCAGAACAAGCACTTGTTGACTCACTAGATTCGTGCTTTCCACTTTTAAGCGGGGAAGAATCATTCGATGATACTTTCTGGCAGTTTGTACAATTAAGTTGATCCTCATTACTTCTACTCTATGAATTCAAATTGCCTTTTCCGGTTTCCGTTTCGTGCACAGGAAATTACAATGTCATTGACATCACCTTGGTATGTAAAAGGGCATTGTACTGATGGACCATGAGAAGCCCATTCTATAATGTCAAAGGGCGATAGTGTCATCCTAATCATGAAAATAATGACATAGCTGGCCATGGAATAAGTCTCATCGCGACAAGTTCAAAGCTTCAAGGCCTGCAAAGATGGATTAACGTAATCGGCAACAGCACCGCCTATTGGTCATCCATGTCCCCACCGACCCCGAGTCAACAATCTGTGGAGGTAAAGGGGCAGAGCCCCGTCTTCGAATAGACGCATATTTCGCTCTCTTGACGACATGGTCACTAATCCGGGTTGCTCCGAGAGCTACGTGGAAAGCTCAATCGGGCTTCTAGTGACGAGAGGCTCTTTGTCGATATCATAAGTACCATGGAGGAATTTCGGAAGCCTCCGTGTTCCTTTCAGGATCCGCTTTCGTCACCCCTCCATTGCGGGCATTTCCAGACCAAGTTCTCGGATTGATACTCCAAGTCGATCGCAAAAATAGTAGGACGAGCTCACGTTATCTGTTTTTGTCCTCACGTCGTTATATCTAATATTCTCTTCTCATCTATCTAAAGTGAACGACCTCATTGGCCCCTTTGTGACCAGAAGCGATTTGAACTTGCATCCCACGCGCTCTAACTTATCGCAATGACTCCATCGCTCTTCCCCCAGGGAGGATGGGATGTACATCATCACATCTTTGAACGTATGATGCAGCCCCATGAGTTCTTAGGATTGTGCCACGACTTACAAACTGATTATCGACAGCGGAAAGATTCCCCTACGCACCCGATCGTCATTTGACCCCGCCCCCGGCTACTGTTGAGCGATACAACGAATTTAAGAAAAGCCTTGGTCTTTCCAACTCTGTCTTGACCCATGGGCTGTCTTATGGCGCTGATTGTACAAGTCTCACGAAGTTCATCGCCGAGTTGGGGAGGAAAAATACCCGAGGCATTGGCGTCATTGATCCCGAGACCGTCACTACGGACCAGCTCCAAAAGATGTATGATGATGGTATATGCGGTATCAGGGTCAATCTTTATCGCTACAACGCTATGCATGACGTGGAACTGCAAAAGAAGGCCCTCATCGAACATGCGCACGCGCTTAAGGGTCGATTCCCCGCCTGGAGCATGGCTTTTACTCAACTGCACCCTGAATTCTGGGTGAAGCTCAAGCCGGTTATCACCCAACAAATAGCTCCCTTGGGCGGTCGCCTCGTAACCGATCATTTTGCACTCTTCAAGGGGGCAAGTCTTTTGCCTCCTGAGTTGCACGGCGACGTGTTTCGGCAAGAGGGCTTCCAAGAGCTGATCGATTTGGTTCGAGATGGAATTTTGTACATCAAGATCAGTGCCCCCTATCGTGTCAGCAAGGAAGCTCCAGATTATGATGATCTCAAGCCGCTTGTTCGCGCATTCATGGATGCCAATCCAAGACAAGTAGTGTGGGGTAGTGACTGGTACGTGACATTCTTGTCCCCCTTCGAAGTGTTTCATATTAATGGAAATAGGCCCCATACACCTCTGATGAAGGTCAGGGCGCGTGAAGAAGCGCTTACGGAGACTCCATATTTAGAAGTGGACGACTTGAAGTGGCTCCAAAGCCTGCGGAAATGGCTCTCCGATGATGAATGGCATCATGTGATGATCCTGAACCCGCGACGTCTTTATGGATTATAGTCGGCATCCCTTGGCCAAAGCAGGTTCATCCTCTGAATGCTTGGATTCAATGCTTTCTTGTATATCTACTCCCCCTGTTCTAAGCACAGATAGCCTTTATTCTTGCGATGCTAGATTGGATGTTTTCTTTTTGTCTTACAGTCATGCAAGATTCGCAGAAGACGATCTGGCTCGTGACAGTCGTAGTCTCGAGCCCAACATATGAGTAACTTGACCGTTTACATCTATATCATCTCGGTGGAATCGAATAAGATATTTCCAATTGCAATGGACTCCGAAGAGAGAAAGAAGGCAGAATTATACTTACAAATCTTACTGACCTGGACCGTGAAAGTCTCGACTCGAATATGAGGAATCAGAAAGTGGCTAAGATGGCCACAAAAATTATTCGAATTAGGATGCACAGCAATCAGAGAATACGATAACGAGCCTATCGTCGCTGACAGATGTTTTTGTATTTTAAAGCCATTTGTACGCTGACGGATGCCTTGACCGGGCAGACCTCCATAAACCAGAAAAGAAAAAGTGTTACCCATTATCTAGTACAGAAGATTATTGCGGCCACTCGGCAAATAGAATTTCTTTTACTGAGTATTCTTACCGCAGTAGTAACCGCCTACTAAAATAGTTACTATAACTAAGCTTTTTTTTAATGTCTTTTACTTTACTTTTTTTCTACTGCTATCCCCTCCGGCCCCCAGAGCCTATATATTTAAAATACTTTTTAAATTATTTTCTAGTTTTTTATTATCGCCTCCCTTCTTTTTTCTTTATTCTTTAAAAAAGCTTTTTAAATTATATAACCAACTCAGCCTCTTTTTATATTAGGATCTTTTACATTTTCTAGGGTTAAAGACAATGTTTTTAGAGTTCTTTACAAAAAACTATCTTTCATTATTCCTTACTATTAGAATTATTGCCGGGTTTGTCTTTTGCTTATAATTTTACCGGCAAAATTTCTATTGCCGAGTGGCCGCAATAGTCTTCCGTAATCAAGCAAACTACCTCAGAAAGCGTGATCTTTTCATCCTAGTGCCCGGTTGATGAGAAAAGTCCGTACCACAAGGAATGATCCATGCTGGTCACGGCTGGCTCCGGCGTTTATGATTCATCTTTCTACTTAGCGGGCTCTACTCTTGATGTAGCGTTTATTTTTGATCAATGGTACTTGGCCCTACCGACCCAAACCATCTCCCCGCTTGTCCGCCATTCTCGCCGAGAAGATCGAGACCTTCCAACGGATTGTTCCGTGTCTTTGGGGCACCTTTCAACCCCGTGGGGCAAGCACCATATCCGTAGCGGGGTAGCTATTTATGCCAATGGTTGATGACCTTCTCCGACTTATCAGCCATCGGATCAGAGTCTATTAGCAGTATACCGAAGCGTTTCTTTGCCCCTTCTTTCACCCACGAAAATCGTGGATTCATGTCGCTCGCGATGGAGTACCGTAAGTGATCTTACAATCCGCATTGCTCTCAAATTGAGATACTGACGATTTACGCCAGGCCCGTCATTTATCCAAGATCCAGTGCAGCTTGTCAACGAGTGGTGCTCAGCACAATCGCAGCTCTATCCCGGATTACGATTTGATGAAAAGCATTCTATTTTGTACAAACCAAACCTATCTGAAGCTGGCAGAGTAACCGTTCTGAGTGGAGGTCAGTTTGGACCCATTGGGTTTTGGTCGGGCGTAATTGAGAAAAGCTTTTGACATCTTTGACTAGGTGGAAGCGGACATGAGCCGGCCCACTTCGGCTACGTTGGACATGGATTGCTTGACGCAGCTGTCGCTGGCTCGCTATTTGCCTCGCCTAATGTCAAACAGATCAACAGAGCTTTGGAAGTGGCAGCATCCCCACAAGGAACAATTGTGATTGTGAAGAACTATACCGGCGACAAACTCAATTTTGCACTGGCGATAGAACGCTTCAAAAGTCGTACCGGCAATGATGTCCGAATGGTGCTTGTTGGTGACGATGTCTCGGTCCCAAGATCGCGGGGCAAGTTTGTTGGACGCCGTGGTCTCGCGGGTGTTGCCCTTGTGCACAAAATTGCTGGCGCTGCGGCACATCGCGGCTTAGACATGGATCGCATCGTGGAGCTGTGTGATCTAGCCTGTCATAATATGGGTACTATTGGCGCCTCTCTTGCGCCCTGTCATGTCCCGGGCCATCCCTCTGACCTAAAAATTGAAACCGTGGATATCTTGCTGGGAATGGGGATTCACAATGAGCCCCCGATCAGCACTCTGCCAATGACAAGCTCTCCAGCGCGAGTGATACAGGCAATGCTTCAGCTTCTCCTGGACAACGAACTGGCGGAACACGGGTTCCTTGAACCTGCTGTTAAAGACTCCAGCCGCAACACGGTGTTGTTGTTAAACAATCTGGGCGGACTATCTACCATCGAGATTGGCGCTCTCACTGCGATGACTATCACAATAATGAGAGACCGATACAAAATGGTTCCTTGCAGCGTCTTGCGCGGCACCTACCTATCCGCTCTGGACGGGCATGGCTTTAGCATAACGCTACTTTCTCTGGTGGATTCGGCAGATGGCTCTTTGCTGCTGAATCTGTTAGACGAGCAAACCGACGCTATTGGCTGGACACCTCCTTCATCTCTCAACAGGGGCTCTGAGCCTGATGCTTTCGAAATACACACCACTCATCCGGCATCGGGATCCATATGCCTCGAACAAGACTGTCGTAAGTTAACCTAAATACATATCTCCGGAATATAGATCAGGGGCTCTCTAATGCGCATTTACAGGCTCTTTGAGAAATCCCAGCAACCCTGTTCCAGTCATCGTTGAGTCTATTCTTGCTGAGGTCACCCGTGCGGAGCCCACTATAACCAAATATGATGTCGTTCTCGGCGATGGGGATTGCGGAACGACTCTTCTCGCTGGTGCACAAGCCCTTAAGCGTGCCTCTGACAAAGGTCTCCTCTCAGAACAGGAATTTGCTCCTTCTCTGATGGTTCTGGCCGACATAGTTATCGATGCCATGGGGGGAACATCAGGAGCTATCTACGGTATCTTCTTGACTGCATTTGCTGCATCTCTTAACCGCCTTCAGAAAGACTCAGTGGACTTGAGCGTCAAGGATTTCTCATTCGCTGCTTCGGGGGCATTGGATATACTCATGAACTACACCGGAGCTCGAATTGGAGATCGCACTTTAATGGATGCTCTGATTCCGTTCGTGACAGAACTTAAGGTCTCACGAAATCTGAGCGGCCCTGCCGCTTTCCAAAGAGCGCTCGAATCAGCCGAATTAGGATGTCAGAGTACCAGACAGTTGCATGCTAAATTTGGACGATCCACCTACGTTAGTGAAAACGTGGGACGCGATACAGCCAACGGACACACACGTCCTGCGGATCCTGGAGCTTGTGGCTTGCTTGCTGTTCTGAATGGTATACAGCATGTGATAAAAGGCTGCTAACAAAGGGTAATTACTAATGTACTCATCTCTTTGATACATGCTTACCTATAGCTTCCAAGGTTGATGCGAAATGTTGTCACATTCTTTATTTGTATGGTGCTCAAGCATCGAAAAAGCCGATGTTGGCAAGAGCTACAATCAAATACGAAAATACATATCTCACCTCCAACCCCATTGAGTAACCATCTGCAGTACACGCGATGTATACAAAACCTGAAATTAATAGAAGCTGAACTGAATGGATTTATCGATGTTCTGGTAGTCTGCAGCGCCAAATTCGCTTTCACGCAGAGCTCATCCGAGGGCAACCCCCCAGAATCAACCAAGATTCAGTCGTCGAAGGAAGCAGCATCTAGCTAGCAGTGGGACAAGCAGCGGCTGCAACTTTTGTATCGCAGCCGCGTTGAATATCTCACCCGTGAATTGGCGTTTTTATATGAATCTTTGGTTATCTCGCTGAATGCGATGCAAAAGACTTCTTGGTCTCGGATCGATAATCTATAGCACATAGCAAGTTGGTCCGCTGAAGTAGTCACGTAAGCTGAGCTGAGTGCCGCCGCCTTGCTAACTGCCTCGCTGGCTCCTTTCTAAGGCTGTTCAACCACTAAGAAAAGGCTATATACATCAATTCTTGTTGTTTTTCTGAGGGCATTTTGCATGATTGTATTCTTTATTTCTATATACTACAGCGGACTGGCCGGCGTGCCCTAGCCGGCCTTGGTGCTGCAGTCTAAATTCCTTTATTTTCTTATATCTGAGCTATATTAAAGCTTTCTTAGCCTATTTGTCACGGGTAACCTTCGGACGCATAGCGAACTGCCAAAGATCTACCCACGTATCCCCTATGTAACGGTCATGACGTCAATGACTCCCGACTTCTCTGAGTACTTAACTCCCAGGACCATGCTAGATCTCCAGGATAGCAAGATTAGTCTTGAATGATATGGACTGCTACTATTCTATACCTAATCGACCTATTTCCCTTAAGAATATTACAAATAAGATTAAACATTTTATAAATAAGATATGAACTTTTATGTTTAGCATTTCAGTAATTAGATTTTAATATAAATTTAGATGTTAGTTCCGGATAATATTTGATATAGCAATTTTTAAAAATATTCTATTATAGTACTGTATTCATTTGACTTTAATTTTACTTAATATAGCAGCTGCGCAGAGAATTAAATATTACAGATCTTCAAAGGCAGTCTACAGTAGGCCATATTAAAAGATACTGCTTTAATATATATTTTAAACTGTAGATAGCTTTCGACTATTAGTATCTTTTTCTGTATATGATTTGATGCTATTTAAATAATCTTCAAAACTTGAAGTACTTATTTCAATTTTAAACGCGGCAGCGAAGGCGCTCTTTGTAAGGAACCTCCTACTGTTAAAAGCTTTAACAGTAAGAATTGAATACGTATTTATATCGGCCATGTTAAGATACAAAAAGGAACACCAAAGAAATCACGATATTGCGAAATGGGGCGAGTTGGGCGAGTTCTTCAACTTTAAAATGTTGAGGGTGCAAGACGCGGCGCGGCGGGCGCCGGTCAGAGGAACAAAGATATGTTTGGGCAATGATATTATATGATCAGAAGTTAAAAAGGGGGCACTTAACGCCGTTTGAGAAAACATTTAAGTACTGGCAGCTCTAAAATTTCCACATCCATTCATCACTGGGATCAACCTCAAAATCAAAGCGGACGACGTCATCTTTATAAGGCCATAGGTAGGTTGTGGTCACCCTGTCATTGACTTGGTCAGATAGGTTGACCTTCAAGCCTTGTGTGGTGGATGTTAAAACCATGGCGGCCTGAGACGCAACTCACCAGTGATGTTCCTTGCTGGCTTGGTATCTCTCCAGTGCCGCTAGATCTTCGTGCAAGCTGAGAAGGGCAATTTCAAAGCCTTTGCTTCGTTCAATGGGATCCGTGAGTGAAGGACCGCCAACACTCAATCGTTGTGATTTGACTGATTCCAAGTCTTTCAGTTTCTTTAGTTCACGCACAAATGTCTCCCTGACCTCCGTACTGACTTCACGACGGAATTTAAACATAACTATCCAAAGAGTCGTTAGAAGGGGTTCGGAGGATGATGACTCTGAGGTATTTGATATCAGGGAGCAAGGAGCAATTACCCATATGAATGATCGTCATGTTGTCACTGTATATGAAAAGACAGGCGTTGTTCGAGGGAGGGATTTGTCAATGCTCAGTCCTGACTTTACTTGTCGCGCGTAGGTTAGAAAAAGGCGCGGCTTTAATTGTCGGTTTCTTCGACTTGAAATCCCATGAAGCGGAACTATCCGCCCGGTTGGTCATAAATCATTTAATCGGAGCGCTCCGTCCTTAAGATTGCGGGGGGATTCGCTAACTTACACGTGGCTGACTGGATTGGTGCGTCTACTTTTTCAAGTATTGCTGGCACTCAGCCAGCAAAATCTTCGCCGTGATATAAAACTTTCCGTGCCATATAAACACATTATTATATCCATGTTGAAGAAAATACCCGTATTGACATGATTTTTTGAACGTTTGCTGCTTTATCTTCTCTCTTCAGAATGCTAGGAACGAGACGAATGAGGCAAGACTCAGTATGAGCAACGGCAAGAAGAAAAAGAAGATAGGAGGATAATCCTTGCTATGACTAAATCAAACTACAGGATAAGCCTTGAATCCTAAAGATCAATATGGCGGAAGGTTTGACCTTGATCTGCAGCAGCGAAGAGGTGATAGTTCATCACAGAGTTCATTGTCGAGTTGTCAAGGAAATGCGGAAATCCTAAACTAGCTAAGGTGGAATGACCGGGTGTTGGTGTCCACAATCACACATCAGACTTGGAAGCGATGTCCTCTTTATGTTCATGTGTTCTCTCTTTCTCGTCATCCGGAAGGGTATAAACGAACTGATCCTCAACTGGTGCAAAACCAATCTTGTACCATGGGAGAATAAAAAGTGTCTCTGTGCTTTCCATACTTCGCCCTCGACACTCCGGGAACGAAAAGAAGACCCAAATGATGCCACAAAAGGTGCATGCAGAGAAGAGGGCAAAAGGTCCGTAAGGATGCATAGCCTCAGTCATATTAGGGAACCCGCGAGTAATGCCGAAGCTCAAGAGGTTCTGGTAGACAAACGCCAGAGTCACCACAGGACCACGAATCGCCGTCGGGCAAATTTCCGAGGCAGCCAACGAGAAGGAAGGCCCCCAACCAATTCCATAACCCACGGCAAAGACACACAGACTGACGACGGCAACGACCGCCGCCGGAGAGGCATGTTCTGAGGCTGTTGTGATGTTTGCTTTGCCGAGATATGCGGAGAGGTAAATTAGACAGATCAAATTAATGGTTGCCCCAATGAGAAGTAATGGCCGGCGACCAAATCGTTCAGTCAAGAAGATGGCGTATATGAAGACGGACAGGAACTTGATTAGGCCGTACACGGCTGTAAAGAGCAGCACTTTTTCGGAGTCGAAGCCAACTGATTTGAGGATATTTGGGGAGTAGTATGTAATTGAGTTGCCACCAGACATGATGAAAAAGGTTTGGATGATCAATACAAAAATCAAAATCTTGCGGACTGGCTTTTCAGTCCAGACCCTTTTAAGCAAGATCACGGAGGCTCGGAAGATATTCTCTTCGGCTTGAGATTGGATATGGCGGCTAAGATCGCTCCACTCGTTCGCAAAATACTCGTGAGAATCATCTAAACCACCTCGAATGCGTGAGAGGGTCTGGTGGGCCGCTTCCAATTGGCCTCTCATTGCAAGAAAACGTGGGCTTTCTGGCACGAAAGGGTACCCAAGAATCAACACGGTCGAAGGGATCATCTGCAAAACCATGGGGACTACCCACTGAAACTTATCAGTGAGGATTTGAGAAGAAGCGAAGTTTATCCAATATGCTCCAGCTATGCTGGACATGATGCCAGCATTGTAGAAGGTGCTTAACATGCCACGCAGCTCAGCAGGGGCGATTTCCGACAGATAGCATGGACCTGCCGAGTAGGCCATGCCAGATCCAAGACCAGACACGACGCGACCGTCGAGCAGTTCAGCCAAGGATCCGAAGTTCACTGCCATCAGCAAAGAACCGATTGTGTACGTGACTGCAGCCATGAGGATGATGACTTTGCGGCCGCGAGTCTCCATGATAGGTCCAGCCAGCAAGATCCCAGCCGTTTGACCCTGATTGCAATTAGAAAGACATTTTTGGTATGGAGTCTCAGAGGGTATGGATGCTCACCAGAAGCAATGAAGAAGTCACCCATCCTCTGTAGTTTGCTACAGTTCCTGATGAAAGATGGTCCCATCCAAATTCCTGTCTAAAAGTCGACATACCCATCACACCTGCAATGTTGGACGTATTGAATCCATGAAGAGCACCACAGTAAGAAGCCCAAATGGCACAGAGCCAAATTATAGGCTTCTTGACCTCAGCAGGTACTTTGGAAAGTGCCTGATTGGACAATCCACCTCCAGCTGCACCCATTGTAATATCGAGATTTCAATGGAAAGGAAAAAGAGGGCAGAATAACAGCTTCTATGCAACATAAGCGTGTAAGTTATGGGGTAAACTTATTAGAGCGAGAAGGGAAGGGCATGGACTCGATGGTGTTATATCCATTTGGAGAAGCGGAAAGAATTCTACAGTTACCCCGGCCGGCCAACAGCAGCAGAACAGATGGAGAGCCATCCGGGGTATTGCGGGGTACATGACCAAGAATCCTTTACCATCAAAAACGCAGCTAACGGAACAATCCCGACCTCTTAGAAAGCAGTAATGCCAAGTCGCCGCCAGTTTGCTCCATCACGGGGCATAGCGAGGCTCTCTACCGCACGCGTAAGGTAATTGGCGGGGGCGAGGCTACCTGTGAGTCGACAACCTGTTGAGCGAGTGGGCGACATTTCCTCGAAAGTGCAGCTTCTCGCAGAATAGTGGCGGTCAAAGTTTCGCCCAGGCTACTTCCTGATCGTGCGTTTCAGTCATGCATTTCTCAAGTCACGACCTAATGATGGCTAGTTTGTTGTTGAATGGAATTGCCTTGCATATATGAGACTTAGACAAGGGGGGATTTGGTCGTGCGTTTATCGGAAACCTAGTCAACAGCAAAGTTCAAAATGAGGAAAAGGAGTTTCGGGGGAATGTGTTCTCAGGGTGGCAGAGGCTTCGGCGGGTAGAAGTGGCCCTTGGTACGATCACGCAATGGAAAGTGTAAATGGATCCCCCGTCGTCGTCGCCCGTAATCGAAAAGTGGCGGACGGAACAGTCCGCAGACTCACCTCGTGGATCATGACCCCATGGGTCACTCCTATTCTGTAATCTTTCTCCACAGAGTTGATGACCGCATTCAAGTGATGGTCAACGCGGGATCCTCCATGAGTGTATGAAATGATGTGGTGACTCACAAGGCCTGCTGGTTAGATTCCTCGTGCCAATGTTTACTATTTAGAAGCTATAATTGACAGCGAATCGCTCGTCTAGTTCTATTCTACACACGCTACTTCTCGAGAGCTATACTCATCTTCACACCCCGATCTGACTTATCCAACATGGCCTCTCAAGACATCGAATCCCCCAAGGTGTACGTTCCCGCTGAGGAGGCACACGCCTATGCACGGTCCCTACTCGTCGCAAACGGAGTCCCAGAAAACAACGCCGAGACCATCGCACGATGTCTGGTGGAAGCCGACCTCCGCGGCGTCGACACTCATGGCATCAATCGACTGCCCTCATACATGAAACGTCTTCGCCAGGGTGTGATGGACCCCAAAGCCTCACCCACAGTGGAGACTAAAACCCCTGTCGTGGCTATGGTCGATGGGAACAACAGCTTTGGATTCCTCGCGTGTACTGCTGCCATGGACTTTGCGATTTCCGCGGCAAAGACATACGGGATAGGGATGGCCTCTGTCAAGCATTCCAATCACTTTGGCATGGGTGCGTGCTATGCCCTTCAGGCCGCCAGAGAAGGCATGATGAGTCTTGTCTTCACCAACTCTTCCCCTGCGATGGCAGCATGGGGTTCAAAGGAGAAGATTATCGGTGTCTCACCCCTTGCCTGCGGCGCACCCGGTGGAGTCGAGAAACCTTTTATTCTGGACATGGCGCCATCAACAGCCGCCCGGGGAAAGCTTTACAAGGCTGTCAGAAGAAGTGAAAAGATCCCTCGGGACTGGGCGCTCGACGCTGATGGCCACCAGACTGATGATCCTGCTGCTGCATTGAAGGGTGTCATGCTGCCCATGGGCGGACCGAAGGGATCTGCTTTGGCAATTATGATGGATGTCTTTTCCGGTGTTCTTTCTGGATCCGCATTTGCGGGTAACGTCTGTGGACCGTATGATCCTTCTCGCGTGTCTGACGTTGGACATCTCGTGATCGCTATCAAGCCCGATCTCTTCCTGACTATTGATGAATTCAAAGATCGTATGGACTTCTTATTCAGGCGGGTCACCCAGTCGGAAAAGGCACCAGGCACAGAACGAGTCTTCTTCCCAGGTGAGATTGAGCAGCTCAATCAGGAATCCAGAGAGAAGACCGGTATTCCTTACGTGGAGGATGAGATCCGAACCTTGAATGAGGAGGCCCGTTTGGTCAACTCAAAGGAACTCCGAATTTAGTCGAGCGTTTTCTTGAACTTAATCGAAACTCGTATTGGGCTGCCTGCCTTATATGAGCTAGCGATGATGCGATAATGCTTCCCTAGAGACGATTTGGCATCTTTTGCTTTTTGCATATTTCCAGTTAGCGTGAAGCCACCCTCGGTGGCTATCTTGAAATGTACTGTGACTCAATGAAACTTGAATCATGCAATTCTTCTAGATTTCTTGTATCCTTAGTCAATTATCTGAGACAGATTCAGCATATCAGCGATCAGGCACCTTGGGTCTAAGCATTTCTTTGGCTTGAAGTAATTATGCCAATGAGGATGTTATAAACCTTACTGCTTTTGGAAAATGATTAATAGACGAGTTAATCTTTTTCGAATGTTATGATTAACTGGACCGCTGTAAACAAGCGGTTATATCGTGTATTCGAGCAGATTTTCGAGTTCAACTTTCACAGAATGAGAACAGCTTCAATGGTCTAAGGCAATGAATTTGGAATCGAAGGTAGGAGTAGGATATTCTGAAAAGCTAAGCTATATCATGATTAAACAATTTACAAGGACTGGTACATGAGTTTCATTGAAATTCAATAACATTGAAGAATTGCCATGCGACATTATCTCTGAATTGAACATCTGAGGAGTCCTTTGTACAAGAATAGCCGAGTGCTATATCAGGTTCACGCCAGAGGAGGCTGATCGATTCGATAAATAGCCTTGGCAGTGTTCAACCAGGCTTCGTACTCAACATCATCGGGGGTCGTATCGTAATGGTAATGACCACCGGCTCCACTTTCTGAAAAGCAGTGTGTATGCTCCATCCTGAGATTCCAACCCAGGTGATCAACAGAATGAAATGTGGTCAAGCAGACAATCGGCGCGTCCGCTTCATAGTAACGGAACCATTCGTGGTCTGGTCCGGGACACGAGGATGTACTGAAATCAGTCATCACATGAAGTTTTGCTGTTCCTTGTTTCACGAGAAAAACACCCCCCAAGCTGACAGGTCGGTCTCCATAATTGACACGAAGGAGCTCTTGAATTGTCTCTGGGAAGTTCAATTGACCTCGGCGACCTTTTGCCCTTATATGAAGTGATTGACCTTGGTGGCCTCGGGAGATGAACAGATTCGCCATCAACCCGCAATCTTTCGTATCATTTGGTACCATGCTGAGACTCATCTTCTCATCATTGTCAATATGCACATATCGTGAAAGATTTTGCCATTTACCATTGGCGTCACGGGCAAGATTTGGAACAAGCTCTGAATTTTTTCCAACGACATGGAATGGGCCTCCAGCGGCACCAATCGCAAATGCCTGTCCTTCCATGCCAACCAGATCGAGAATCTTGGGTATAGTGTACTTCTTGGTCAAATCTGAGACAGGCTGAAGGTACGCTGGACCCCCAACATCAGCGATTCTTTCATCGCCGCAGAGACCGGGAGCGGATAGGTGGAAAGGCGATTGAGATAGATCGGGGCATTTTGTCACCTCCACGAAGGCGGTTTCGAAGGCGTTCATCAGTCCATTTTGAATCACATCTCTCAACTCCTCTAATGGTGGAGGTTGAAGAACAAAACTCTTCACGGGGGGGTTGTCAATCATTGTGTCTTGTCGTTGATCTTTTTGTTGAATAGCAGGGCCATCAGCAATTGTCGTGACGTAATTGCTGGTCGAATTATTGCCTGTATTCTGACAGATTTCACTAGCATGTCAACCAAAATCTGGGAAGGGCTTTGCAAGCATATAGAAGCGAAGAAACTAATGAAAACACAATCATGTTTTCTCTGTTGCGGAGATCAAGCCGAGTCATCCGGCGGCTGGGGCAAAGTTCTGGCATTCATAACGGAACGCTCCGTTAGTGTGATGGACCCTGGGCTACCGCAAGGAACACTCCATTAGCGCGAGGCTTAGCCCAAAAAATTGTACTGTGCGGCCCGCTCGGCTGACGCTCGACGTTGTAGAGCGGCGGGAGAGAGAGTACATGCGCGCAACTCAAGACATACGAGGGCACAGCGTGTGGCTTAGATGAGCGGCAATGACGTCCCCTCCTGGTGTGTGAGAATCTGGTACGATATAAGAATGAGCAGCCAGTGATTGACAGGAAGAGACAACTTGCTAGAAAAGTAGTGGATGAAGAGGTTATGGGTGCTCTGGAGCAAACAGGATATATAACTCTATAGTATATCAAGTTTATTAATACTATCTTAACCATGCCAGGTTCCACTGTTAAAAAGAAGTTTTAATGAAAAGTCTTTAAAAGTAAAAAAGCTTTTTCACTTTAAACTGCTATTTTTTTTAAAAAAAAAAGATTAAAATTATTCAAAAAGAAATAAGTTGACAGGGGTAGAATAGGAGTAGTCTTTATTATTCAAAACTAATCCTTACTTTTTTAAAGGTTTGGTAAGGTCTTAGAAGTTAAATACTAAAAAGGTTACTCATATTATAACTGTTATGTAGGGCATATATAGGTAGATCCTCAGCAGTCCACTATATGTTCAAAGATTACCCATGACAATTACTTAGTAAGTATGCAGGAGCATAAAATAAGCAGTTATGTGTTGCCCTTATAAAAGCAGCAGCGCCCGCATAAGGCAAGCGGACAGGACTTGTGGCGAAACATTCCAGTAAGGGGACTACTAAGTAGCTACGGGAACGAAAAGGTTGTACCTTGCCTCGGTAAAGCATGCTAGGCTGGTTCTAGGACCGGGATAACATCAAATAAAACACCAGCGGTGAATGCTAATTCGACTAGCGGAGTCGGGTCCACAGACCATGATGGCGGTAGGTCCATCCGCTGGAGGTACTTGAGCTGCATCTGTAACGGAAGTAATATCCAGTTCCGTTAAGGTTAATTGAGCTGTCACCTTCATAAACTCTATCTTATGAGAGAACTCGTTGTATTCCCACCACCTGCTTCTGATGCGGCTTTGCTCGGACTTGGGCGATCGAAAACCAGATCTCAATTACTCGATTCGATTTTCGAATAGTCTTTCTCGAATCTAGTCGACGAGCTGCATGCGGTTAATGACTCCATATAGCCCTCAACCATGGCTCGTGTCGGAATCTGGAACTTTAAGAAGTGATGGTGTCAGTGGCAACGGTCACCTTGCCCTACCCCTTCATCCTTCTACCCCCCACAAGATCCTGTGGGGATAGCTGAAATTTTGACATCTCTCATTCCTTCGCATACCCACTTTGTATGTCAATCATGCCAGTTCAGCTACCGATGCTGCAAGCTCGCACTCTGCGTTCTGGTCGTGCCTCCGAGCAACGATGAATGTGACGGGACCGGTGCTACCCCCACCAGGCGAAACAGTGAATCCCGATCCTCGGCCATGGCTGTTCACGGCAAACTGCATCGCGATCGGTGTGGGCCTTGCGCTGTGCACGGCCTTTCTCGCGATTCGGATATACACCAAGGCACGGATTTTGCGGACATTCTGGTGGGATGATTGTGTGTACTTACTCACTTTTCTGTCAACGGCTAAAATGAGACTAACTCCTATCCTGCACAGTATTCATTCTTCTGGCTTGGGTAAGCACACACAGTTGGAGTATATACTGGAAGGAACAAAGCGGTTGATTACCTGAGCAATAGATCTTTTCCGTCAGCACTCAGGCGGTCATTCTATGTACGGACATAACGCTTGACCAAGTTCAACCACCCATCTAACCGACTGCCCTCAGATGGCTGCCTCGAGGCAGGATTCGCAATAGACATCTGGGACCTATCGGTCTCAGAACTCGTCTCCTATCGCAAGGTACCTGAAAATACATACCTTTTCTAGGATACGCTACTAGGATTAATCAAATCACGTATCCCATTAGACCATTCTTGCCATGGCGGTGATCCACATTGAAGCCCTCGCATTCGCCAAATTTGCCGTCCTGATGCTCTACTACCGTGTCCTCAAGCTCATTACTCCGTGGCGGTACACCCTCTGGGCCGTGGGTAGTAGCATTGGACTCTACAGTACTATATTAGTCTTCATGCTGATCTTCGCCTGCGTGCCGATCGAGGATGGCTGGTCCCTCACCAGCCCTGGTGCCTGTCGACGGCGATCGGGCCTCTATCTGGCCACCGCCATTGCCAACACCGCCAGCGACAGCATCTTGCTGCTCATCCCGATGATCTTTATTTGGGCCTTGAACTTGCCTTTCATGCAGAAGATTGGTTTGTTCTGCTTGCTGGGTTTGGGATGTCTGTACGTGATTCTCACTTTACATCTCTTTTTGATCAGGTCCCCAGTATGAAGGATGAGTAACTGACCGGTTGGGATGCACCTTGGGCGTTGTGTTGCACAGTACGGTTGTCACCAGCATCGTTCGCCTGGTCACTCTCATTCCTCTCCTCGATTCGAATAACCAGCCCCATAACATCGGCCTTGTGTGTCTCTTTATGTAGGTGACTCCAATCGCGTGATCTAGCGTTCTCTTCTCTGATCCCATCTTTTCCCGTTCCCTTTTTTTTCAATTTCCAAGATTCACAGCACTAACAAACAGTAATATATCCACAGAGTGCTCGAAGCGAACTTCATCATCCTCTGTGGCTCTCTCCCTTTCACACGCGCGTTCCTACACCATTACGCCCCGAAATGGTTCCCGTCGCGCAACGGGAGTCGCGGCGACCGGTATTACTTGACGGGGACACCCCCCTCCAGCACGACCTCACCTTCAAACATGACCTCTCCAGCTGCATCAGCGCCGGAATACCGTCGCAGACCATCGTACTTCGACATTGAAGCCATTTTGAACGACATACCTCCGGCGGAATGCTCTGAGTTTGTGGGTCCCCCAAGAAAACCCTTACCTGTTTGGAAGGGGCCGCCACGAAGCGACATGATCGATTGATCGAAGCATTTTGGTTAAGGTAAAAGTATGCTGCTTGTCTCTAGAATAGCTTAAAAGTCATGTTCCGGGTGATAGTATATAATATATAATTCGTGGATATATGAGTCGAGGAGTCTACAATTGGAGACTTTTCAAAGCGTGTGAAATGGCCTTGGGTGATGGCTCAAGCCGCAAGGAACAGGGCAGAACAGCGGGGTAGACACTAGAGTACCTTGCAATTTAAACCACACATACCCTTTCTCCAGGTTCGATGCCCTCACTACCACTTGATATCTGTATTCCAGATGAGTACAGCAGGGCAGCAATCTATTTTCGAAATCTAGCCAGCCCAACCGCCGCGACCGTCCCGATCAGCCCAATTGCCAGCCAGATCTTGCCCGTTTCCCCTCCCTCTCGGACACTTCCTTCAACATCAACCCCCCCGCCACCACCGTCTTGACCGGTAGAAACTCCAACCTCGGTGCTCCCGACGCAAAGCGGACAAAAAGCGCTGCCTTCCACCGATCCGGAACCATTGGCGACAGGTACCGGGCGGCGAAGCGCAGGAACCCCGTCTGCTGGGCCTCGTACCGCGTGATCGTCGCCGACAATCCCAGGACCGTGGTCGCCCGCGGACGGTGGCTCCGGTCGAACTCCGCAAACAGCGCCGCGAGCTGCTCGACCGTCGGGGCCGCACCCGGGGAGGAGTCCCGCAGTAATACGACCAAGGCGTTGGTGAGATGTGCGACACCTTCGAGGGCGAGATTGCCACCGAAGCCCGCGTTGGGGGTAACCTTGTGCGCCGCGTCGCCCAGCAGCAGGACGCGGCCGTGACTCCATTGCGATACAAGGCCTTCTTCTAGCGAGACCAAAGATCCCTTCACGCGGGTGGTCCATAGGTCCCGGATGGTGTAGCCCGGTCCCGGCGCGACGTGGCCGTATTCGTGAGCCAAGGCGTCCGCGTCCGCGTCGGTGTACTGCGGACAGTTGGGTGTTCGCGTGATGGGTGTTCTAATGAAGAGGAACCAGAAGACGAGGCCTGGGACGCCTGTGGCGGCTAACGCGGAGTGATCCTGGTGGTAGACGTTGTGGACGGTCCCGTCGGGGAGGAAAGGGGTTGCCGGGTCGTTGCGCGAGACCGCGAAGAGGCACTTGTATTCACTTGTAAATGCTACATTGCGCCATCGGGAATGGTTAGTGTATGAGATGCACGGAGGGGGAGAGGAAAGGCAATGACGACGCACATTGCTCAATGCCTTCAGCGAGGGCAGTATTTGTCAAACGGATCTTATCGGCCATGAGCCGCCGGACGCGGCTATGAACCCCATCGGCTCCAATCAGGATACTCCCCTGGAACGTCTGGCCGTCGGCCGTCGTCACGGTGATCCCGAACGGGGTCTCTTCGTACGCAACCACGGGGCTCTGGCTGTGCAGCTTCTTGGGGTCTGCGATGTAATTGTGGAGAATCCGCAGCATCTCGCTGCGCTCCATGAACATTGTCGGATATTTCAGGCTAGCAGCGAGTCAGATTTCCATGTAATTTGAAACATGCATGGAGGCATTGGCTTGATGGATATAGAGATGCGATACTCACTACTGCTGAAGATACTGCAGAGCAATAGATGTCTCCATGCAATACCCGGTCTCGTCGAAGTGATATCGCTCCCGCAAGGGGACCACGACTTTCTCAATTTCTGGCCAAACGCCCAGTTGATCCATCAGCTGGTTAGAATGCGGGTAAAAGCCGATGGAAGCGCCCAGCTGAGGAGCGAAGTCCCCTTTCTCGAAGAGCTCGTAGTCGATCCCGGCGCGCTCCAGGCTGATGGCCAGGGTCAGGCCTACAAGGCTGCCGCCGGCGATCAGCACCTTGAAGTCTCCCGTCATGTTCGCGTGGGGGCTGATTCGATTGCGCTGACTACGATGGGTGAGGGCGGATGTCTTGTGCTTGTTCGGAGTCTTGCAGGGTCTTTCATCTTCCCCGCACGGATATTTCATGACTCGAGCTTTCACGCTAATCTCTAGTGCATGTTTCACTACCCAACCACCGGCTAGGTCTGGCCGGCCCAGTTGATTTGACAGGTGGTTTATAGTGGAATTGAGTCAATGGTAACAATGGTCACATGACACAACTGACTCGAATTACTACCATTGGCAAGATACATCAGAGACACAGCACAGGCCTATAACTAATATTCAATGATTTATACCATCGAGAAACTCACAACCATGAGTCTATTCGAATTGCAATGTAAAGACGGTGTATCGTATGTGTTTTGATGTGATTTACAAGCAAGAGGCCACCGACTGCGAGAGCAGTAAGTCCCTGTAAACCGCGACGGCCGGGAAAATCACCGAGCCGGTTGCCTGGCAAGGTATCACGCGCCATAGTAAACGTATTGGGCCCAGTGCAAAGGTTGCTTCTCATATTTCTTGGGCTCTGATGTCGCCTTAATTGCCTTGTGAAGAGCCAAGGCGACATCTCGGTCCGTGAGCCCTTGCATCCCGCTCCGGTGGAGCTGCGTGTAAAAGGAGCAAGCAACCTCGACGCAGACCGCGTCGTCCGACGGCCACAGACAGCCGACCACATGTCTAAAACCCGCGACCTGCAAGCTGCTGACGACTTGGAGGGGTTTGTCCTGGAGCCTCGGAACCTGGGCCCCCACCGTCGAGCAGGCCGAGAGATGGGCAATCTGGCCCTGCGCGCTGTGGCTATCGTAGATCACTCACCTCTTGCTGGGGGGTTGCAGGGTGGCTGTTTCGAGAAGTAACTCAATGCGCGGGACTGATTGCATAGGCCACGCCATGGCATGCGAAGTGCACAACATGGCACTGAGGAAGGTGCTGCAGCACGGTGTCGAAATCTGGTTGGTGAAGCTTCTCAATTTGGACCGAAGAGCCAAGCACGGTTTCGATGGCGGCCACCTCCTGCTCCGATAGCTCTAACACAGAGTGGTTCCAGGCCTCGATCAGTGAACATCTACAAGGTAAAATCCAGCAGATCTGATTTAACCCGCAAGGACTACGGACCCCCGTATGCATGGGCACGTGATCTCATCTCACACGCTTGCAAAAAGCAAGAAACAAGAAGCAAGGTCCTTGAAGAAGCAGCGAGCTCTCCGCGCGTTGAGTTCATAACAATTCGCATATGACTGATCATTCTATTTAAAATCTGGCACCAACAGGCCTTTTCCGCCTCATTCATGGACCTATCCAAACCGGTTCTCAGACCACTTTTGATCACGTGATGATGATCTTGCCATCAAAAAGCATATCGAATACATAGACTTCACGCCTCCAAAAGTAGCAGTCACACCTTGATGGAGAAAAGAAGGACAAATGAATTGGATGAGGATATTTTAAACGTCCAGAAAAAAGACCATGTCTTGTGACTTCAAATTTAGAGCACATGGACCATTTCCAGGAGGAAAGCAAGGCATGGATGTCAATCGAGCATCATTTAGCCACCCAGTCCATGGCCCGTGATGCAATGGAGGCGTATGGCTCAGCCCAGGCCCTCGACGATATGAGAAACTCTCTTTCTAGTGTCTGATATAATGACTCGGGGCCTCTCTCAACATAACATCTCTTCCCCACCCCTCCTTCAGAACTCTGACAACCTCATACAATCAGATTCGGATATCTTTCTAGACCGACTGGATCTACATCTCTCACACTGACCGGACCGTCCTGTACATTCTTCCATGGACAAAAGACATTCGTCCTTCGTCCACGACCCTCTCCCCCTTGTGACCGATCGACAACCACGGTCCACCATGCCGGACCCCGGAGATAACAACCTAGGCCCTGTCATGGATGGTGACAAGAAGACAGGTATCGACGAAAGCCCCGGTGACATGGGTCTTGGCAGCTCCATGAGGCCGAAAAAGATGTCCACAGTCCCTGATGCTAGAGCGAAATACGATGTCTGCGACGGCATGAACCAGCAGCTCTTGGACACAGGTGCCGGACTCCCGGCCCAGATGTGCGACGCAGGGCCCATTGATAATCTCGGAGACACTACTGTGCGCGATTTCTTCAGCGAGGATGAGATAAACGAAGCACTCTATGGCAGGGATGCGTCGATGTAGAGGGTTTCCCCGTACTGTCCCGGAAAAGTGCTTTCCAAGTAAATAAGAGTTTTGCGTTACAGAATATTATGCTATGCTGTTCAACGGGAAATGCCAAGTACTACCCTTGGAGTTCTTCTCGTGCGCGGCGTAGAGGGACTTAACCAGCCTGATCTGTCGGTGTAGTATAATAAACCCTGGCCTAAATGGGTTCAACATCAGAGTACTCCCAAAATAGTATGCGTGCCAGTCATCCATGAGGGCTACAACAGGCTAGCAGAAACATCAGAGCCCCAAATGACTTGGCCGGAACTCAATTCCGATAGTGGAGAGCTTGGCGCATCCTGCATCTCTTAGCGGCAGGCTGCCATACCATGGGGGTTGAAAACATCGAATCTGACCCAAGCATTTCTTTGCCTATCATCCTCCTCACGCGCACCCAATTCGATTCAGTGGATCAGAATTTGACTGCAGTGCTGCTGAGTCATCATTAGTTATGCAGACATGCCTGGTATAAAGCAGGATCGACGTCATTTATGCGGCGAATTGCTAAGCGCGATGACCTCATGACAAATCAAGAGTGGAACCCTATCGAATAGCTCCAGCTTCACTTTTTTCAACCTCGGCATTTACAGTCTAATATTTGACTGCACTTACCCCTGTCAACTTGTCATCCCGTCAGCACTTTAATCCTTCTTCTCTCCAATCACTCACCTATTCTAATACTCATACACACCCACACACACATAAAAAATGAGCCTGCCAACTACCTACAAAGCGGCCGTGGTCCCCGCCCCGCACGCCCAGCACACCATCGAGGACCGCTCCCTGCCAGCCCTGGAAGCCAACCACGTGGCCATCAAGATCACCGCCACGGCCGTGAACCCAGTCGACTGGAAGATCCGGGACTACAACGTGTTCCTGAAGTCGTACCCGGCGGTGCTGGGCTCCGACGCCGCGGGCGAGATCGTGGCGGTGGGCAGCAACGTCTCGAGTCACACCGTCGGCGACCGTGTCTTTTTCCAGGGCATCATCGGCAACTACCCGGCCTCGACCTTTCAGCAGTACTGCGTGATGCCTGCCGAGCTGGTCTCCCACACACCCCGCAACATCTCCGACGACCAGGCCGCGGGCATCAGTCTGGCGTCGCTGGCCGTCGTTACGGGCTTCTATGACAAGACGGGCCACGCGATCGGCCCCGCGCCCTGGGCCGAGGGCGGTGCCGAGGCCGGCAAGGGCAAGGCGATCGCCATCCTGGGCGGCTCGTCTAGCGTCGGCCAGTATGCGATCCAGTTCGCGCGGCTGTCCGGCTTCGAGCGCATCATCACCAACGCCAGCGCGGCGCATCAGGAGTTCCTGAAGGGGCTGGGCGCGCATGTCGTGCTCGACCGGAAGAGCGCGACCGCCCAAGATTTCGTGGCCGCGGCGGGTGACGGCGTCACGCTGAGCTATGTGTACGATGCCATCGCCATCAAGGAGACGCAGAAGCTGGGTGTCGAGATCGCCCAGGCCACCCAGGGCGCGGCGCAGGCCGTCGTGACCGTGCAGTTGGTTGACCAGGAGGCGGCCGCGCTGGGTGAGTCCAGGGAGCCCAAAGTGGCGGTCAAGCAGATTCTTGGGCTGGGCAGCTCCCCTGCCCTGCGGCATTTGAGTGAGCCTATGGTCAAGGCTCTCGGTGGTGAGGATGGATGGATTGCCAAGGGGTTGTTTGTGCCGAACCGCGTGCGTCTGATTCCCGGTGGCATTGGCGCGGTCGAAGAGGCCTTGAAGACGAACAAGGAGGGTGTGTCGGGTGAGAAGGTCGTTTTCCGTCCTAATGATGCTTAGACAAATGTCGTTGTTAGAAAGATTTATGATCGCTTTGAATGTATAATAATAGATTCCTTCCAAACATGGTCACATAAGCTTCGAAAGGCAACGCTTCGGGCACAAGGTCGCAGCCGAAGGTGTGCGCACCCCAAGGCGACTCGGCCATTGCAGCAACCCAGCAAGAAAGGTTTCAAGCAGGGGGTCATCGATGGCTAGCTAAAGGTTTGCGTGGTCACCCTGGTCATGTTCATCCTCGCGAAAGGAAGCCCTTGGTTAAGGGTATAGATTCAGTGGTAGAAGAACAGCCTGAACCAGTGATAAAAATCAAGTTGGACAGACCAATGATACGTGCCGCTCATGATAATTGAAATCACTTCTCCGATATTTCCGAAGAGTGTCACAATCTCATCAAGATGAACACATCCCTCTGACGGCTCAGGCACAAGAGATAGGGCTAGACCGGGCGGTGGCACAGGCCGCCGCCACTGACGTGGGATCATGCACACCACATGCTCCCTTCGCCCCCCATTCACGCGGCCAAAAAATGCTTATGTGGCTGGATGATGCGCTTTGTTTTTTACTTATATATTCCTCCCAGCAGTGATCGACTTCCCATCTACACAAATCATGCCCCCAACCCCGGAACGCGAGCCATCATGGATCTCAAAAACCCCACCGTAACCGTTGCCTCCCTTTCCTCGATCGTCCACACCACCCTGTTAGCATATGACTGCGTCACCGAGGCACTAATCACAGGGGACACGACTGTAGGCCTGAAGGCCCGCTTCCGGGTGGAGCTGCTGCGGTTACGCCTGTGGGGCCGAACCCGCGGGTTCGGCCTACTGTCTTCCCCACCTTTGCCCTCCAACAACGACATATTCGTTATCCCCGAAATCCGCCGCCTCGCCTTTGATCTGCTCGGAAAGACGCTGTTGATGCTGGACAGGCATCTACAGATCCGCAGGAAGCCTCCGCCCGTGCGCGAACAGACACTGTCGCGGCTCGAGAATGGGTATCCTGCAATCCCCTACGCTCGGGTCCTAGAAGCGAAATGTGCGCTTGATCAGAGGCTCCTCGATCCGGCGCAGCGGACGAAAGTTTTGAAGCAGATTTGCAGGGTAATGGACGATAAGGCGCCCTGGCCGGGGACTTGGGTTGAGCGCACAACCATCCGCGAGTTTCTGACCGACCTGGTGACGTTGAATACTGGGCTGGAGCGGCTGTTGCCGGCCGACGAAGCGGACTTCTTGGCGAGGGGTCTTGCGGGCGAGATCCTTGCCTCGGACCCTAGGTTGCTGGTCACGGATGAGAATTCCTTCGGGGTACGGAATAGTCTGGCTGCGGGGATGATTCGGCTGCGCCAACTGAACGACCTTGGGGTCCATGACCTAGAAGGGAGTGCAAGAACGCCAACATCTGCGGGACACGAGGTAGAAGAGGATGAAGCTCAAGGCTTGGCTCATCCTCAGGCTAAGGAGGTACTGTCGACCTTCGAAATCCCGGTGTCCTGTCTCCAGAGCTTCACGGAACCGCGCCTTCTGGACATTGAAACACATGACTCTACCTCGTCGCAAGGAAAGGTACTGGATGCTTTACCCGTGCGATCTGTATATATCTACACCCCTGAGGGCTCCCAAGAGCAAGAGGGCCATGTCCTTGTGGAATGGCAGTCGCGGCTGGCTACGGCTGGATCTACCTACCCCCCAACTCCAGACCAGTTCCTTGCACAGCGTCGACAACACAAGGTTGAGATTCTTCGTGAGACCTCGGTTGCCGACAGCGAATTCCGTGTCCTGGAATGCAGAGGGTACACACTTGCCACTGGGCGACTACCAAATGGGGACTCCCATCCGGTGATAGGCTTCGTGTACCAGCCGCCGCTCCTTGCGACCGCTCCGATCAGTCTGCATGATATACTGACCACCGCCTATCACTCCCAGACACCCGCAGTGCCGGATCTTGGAGACCGTCTCCATCTGGCTCAGAGGCTCGCGCTTAGTTTGTACCAGTTGCACTGCGCCGGATGGATTCACGGAAGGATCTCCAGCCATAATATCCTGTTCTTCTCTGATACGGAGAGTGCAAGATATGACATCACTGAGCCATACATCTGTGGCTGGCAGAATATCCATTCTACGCAAGGCATGGGTGATGCTGGTGGAGTAACGGGCAGTTTCTTGCAAGAGCCAAGCGCTATTGGTCTTGGAGATATGGCTATGTATGCCCATCCCGATTGTGTAGCCTACGGAGAAGCGGAGCACGGGAACCAAGGGACCCACGACACTTACGGATTGGGTGTGATCCTGATGGAACTTGCTCTCTGGGAACCAATTGTCGCCTTGGCGCATCCGGTTTACCGAGAAGTAATGCAGTCATTCGAGCAATATGCTGGCATCAACCATCGGAGGTGGTCCAATATGTTGATTGAGGTAGCTGATCGCAAGATCGGGGCAAGAATGGGCGCCAGGTATCGGGCCGCTGCAATGGCTTGTTTGTGTGGCGTGCATTCGACTGACCTGTGTGAAAGCCTGGAGGCCGGCGTTGAGAGACAATTGTCCTGGAAGGTGGTCAGAGAGTTAAGGTAGATATTGCGCTGCGACGGCTAGAGATGAGCGCGCCCGGTCGGCTTTGTTTCCTGAAGTAGTCCCGGCTAAATAGGAACTGAAACCCAGTTCTTGCTCTTATCGCTATTATCCAAATATTCTAATATGGGAATATCACTCTCTGCATTCCGTCCGAAGTTCAATACCATTATCCATTCTGCATGATCAGCGAAATAGTGTATTGGGACTTGATTCCCGTCTCTCGAATAACGCGGTTATAACCCTGACTTGAAGTTGCCATCGGTAATACTTTCGTAGTTGGACAAACCTCCACGAAGAAAGGGGTGGGTGCTGAAAAGAACATCCGAGTTTTCTAGAAAATGTGAGTCGCTGAAGTATGTTGTCCCAACGTCATCTGTAAATACCTCAGGGAAGGATGAAGCGCCAGTGGTTCTTGCAGTGGATCAAAAAGAGAGCGGTCATACAGCTGAGCCCCTCGGTCAAAAAGTGCATCATCCGTTCGAGGATCAAGTTCGTCGTTCGGCGTGTTACGATCCTGAAACCACAAATGAGCTAAAGACGTTCCATATTTGTAGGCAATATGTTTTAGTCCTGTGGCTGCCATCTGTAGCATCGTGATGAACTCCTTGACAAGCATCGTGCAATCGTAGCTTTCGTCCGCTGTCAAGGCACCAACAGACAAGGCCTTGTATAGGAATACCGATGCATGAATTCGATATCTTGATATAGTCAGCCACTCTTTCCCATGTTTCTAGATGCTTGACTGGCAATACAACCCTACAATTAGTATCGCACGGGAAGGAATCTCAAATGCTTTGTCGGAATTAAATGGTTCTTTAGGCACTTCAAGACATCTCTCGCAGCCTCGATGGCAATGTAAACATATCGGCCATCTGGGTTAGCCATCACACTGAACGGGAAATAAACCGCAGGCTTTTCGCATTCCGATGCAGGGCCTTTCTTTGAGTCTCGGTAAAGGACTGCTTGGAATGCGAAAGCGTTGACATAGAGGCGGAGATACTCAGACTACACCGCAAGCAAGCAACGCAAATGGTTTGGTAGACGGACATTTCTCTAATTGCCTTTCCACATATCCAAGGTTTTTGAGCTGTCGTCAAGGTACTTGGTATAGTCTCCCACCAGCATCAGCTGCATGGTACCTGACTTTTAAGCGAAGAGTATATCATGTACGTTGCCAAACAGACTTGTCAACTCCACTTGAGCCTGTATGAATGAAGCATGGTCAATGCTGCTTGCTTCCTGTGGTTGCAACGATGGGTAATCGTGGACCGTGAACCGGGTGGATAGGCCTGGACCGCGACACCAAAACGCCTAACCCATTTGGATCGATATCTGGCGATCGGCGAGATACGTATCTGTGACAACGTCAGACTTTTGCAGTGAGAATACGTTTGGGGTTTCTACATATCCAAGCCAACCGTTTGCGATCACAATTTAGGTCGGACTCGATTTTGGCCTCTCCCGGAAATGAGTACGTCTCCAGATGCAGGAGGTATGCCTGTCTGACTGCCAGCCCGACGAGGCTTCACGCCATACTGTTATCCTCTGTTCTCTCGGCCTCCGATCGCTATTTTCGTCCAGAGCTACCCGTGGCATCCATTCAGCCAGCAATAAAAGGCCTCCCACAGTGCCAACGCAACGAACAGCACTGGCTCCCAACACGACCTGCATGATGAGTCTCTCCGTGTATCCCCAAGTGTCGCCATGAAGTCCGGCTAGGTCTGGTCATTCTTGGGTGGCTATAGACATCACTGCCGCCAGCAAGAAAGGTTCATCAAACCTTGACTCAAGGAAACGCTCGACGGATAGCAGCTGGCTAGGGACAATGGGTACGAAAGAGGGGTAGGTGTCAAAGTAGCTGTGACGACAAAGGTCTGTTAGCATGCTTGAGGGGTTTGTAGTCAAGACAGACAAACTATTGAAGCAGCGACTTAAGCACCTGCTCCTCCACAATCCCCTTCTCGACAATATTCGGCTGTCCTAAACTTTGATGTCTAGGTCTTCCACTACATGACGAGCGACTAGTGTCTTCGTCCATGCCATTGATTTCATCGCGTGTCGAGTTCATCTCGACTCTCGCAACCGGCTATTCGTTGGCTACTGTCTAAGCCAGGATCTAAAGTGCTTCCAATGGATTCTAAATCTCACCACTTGGATTTATCTCTGTTGCAGTTATAGAGGCTGGGCCAAGTGGGTCGCTCACAGGCGCCTCTCCTTCGAGTCCGCATAATCGCGTGTCTTGGGCTTCGGTTCACTGCTGTGATTGTCGTGAATGCCGAAGGCGAGAGCAGTCACCGCCTCTTCTCGACTTTGCGATCACACATCGGTGACCATCAGAGGTGCATTCGGAGCAGGGGAGGTAGCCACGGTCGGGGTTGTATGTCCTTCACCATGTGAGACTATTTAGCTAAGGAGATTGCGTAGGGAGTGGAGTCGGCATACAGGTCGCATTTAGTCTTCCGCTGTCGACAGCGGACACATGCTCTATAAAGTCTAGCTCCAGTACTTTTCGTCATCTTCAGCAGGGAATGTGATATGAGGAAGGAAAGTAGAAGAAGAGGAAGAGGAGGAAGAGGAAGAGGAAGATGAAAGAGAAGGAGAAGAGAGAGTGGAATGACCCAAAAGGGAGAGTGGAGGGCGGCGCTAGACGGCAATAGACGGCTGTAGTCCCTACTCCTC